AAACACATTCCTTTGATTCTTCTCTTTCTGGATACTTTTGTCTGCTGTAACTCCAGCTTTGTCCATGGTGCTACTCGAAAACGCAAGAGGAAACAACTTCCTCTCCTTAGGTTACAGGGAAATTCAGCATATTCGCACTGAGCTTTTGCTACATGGAATGACTTAAACTAATGGGTCGAGGAATTACATGAGCACTCGGCAGGGGTGTTCATACATACCTGTTACTGAGCAAACTTGAAGGGCTTAACCCATGGAAATAAAGCTTTCTCACATGTGGAACCTCTTTTTGGCTCTTGATAACTGAGTTTCCTCAATGGGTTTCTAAGTTTCGAGCTGCCAGCTTTGAGGTTCAGATCTCAGGTATGCTTGAAAACTTAACGCATTTGAAATGAGCTGTGTAAAAATGGCACTTGTCGAAGTTACTGCTATTTGTATCTGTGGGGGTGAATGTTTGTGTACATTTAGAAAATGTATGTCAAATAGGTCGAGCTGGTTTCCCTCATATTTTAGGAAAAGAATCACTCTGAGCTGAAAAATTGTATGTCAGGGCTCTGCCTGAAGCAAATTTTTACGATCAAATTAAAAACCTTTGAGAGTAAGAGTTTATAATGGAAATACTAACAGAGTCTTAACCATGGCAGCACTAGCAGGCATTGCAATAATATTAGGAAAGCTCTTCTTGGCCACAATCTAAACTAAATAAAAAAGATGCCATTTTCTAACATATACCCCAGGCTAGCAAATAATATTGATTTAATGTACTTGCCCTGTGGTAATATGGTAGCTCTGCAAACCTCTGAGCCAATTTTTCTTTTCTTTTCTTTCTTTTTTTTTTCTTTTTGAACATATATGCCCCATAGGGAAAGGATTGCAATTTAGCTCTTATTTGTGGATATATCGTTTTCATTTCAATAATTCTTGGAAGCCTTTCTGCTGTCATGCACTGCCGTATGCAAGCACCCAACTGAATAAAGACCCATCAGGCTTTTTCAGGAGTTTATTCACAGGTTTGGCTTTGCTTATTGTAGTATGCACCACATTTAAATTAGATGAGGGCTACTGTAAAGCAATAACATTGTCAATGACTGGAATCTCACTTTCCCCTCTAACAGTCTGAAGCAAATTAATGTATTGGTTGTTCATTAACGAGTAAACAGTTTCTGCTACAATGTCAAGGAAAAAGAATGTGTTCATTAATATGAACGATCTTCATCTACAAAGATGATTTACACAATGCATGTCATGAGATAGCTTCCCCCTAACTAGTACACTACCAAACTGAAAAGCTGATTCTTAGGACTTCCTTGAAATTACAATATTGTTTGTTTACCAATAAGAAAGACAGTCTCAGTCACCTATGCCACCATTGTAAGCTCTATAGTAAGTACTTAAAAAAAAGAGAGATTTTCTGGAATCACTTGTGGAATTAATAAAATTGATAACTACGGACTTACACTGCATCAATGATACATATTATTCCTGTGATAAGTTAAACTAAAAATAAGATTAATTTGGTTATAGAAATTCCTTAAACAACAACACTTAAATTATTTCAAACTTGATTTTTTCCAAGAATTTTCTGAAAAAATCAGCAAACACTGGCTAAAAAAGCAAAGCAGTTTGGATACACCAATGTAATCAGCATGCCTTGTGCTTTTATGTTAACCCTCTGAGTATAACCATAGTATTCTGGATTTTTTGTGCATTAATGCTATGAAAATTATTATTAACAGAAATATTATATATGTCACTATTTAATAAATCATGTTTTAAATATATTTAGGACAGATACCTCATCTAGTGGGTGTTTCATCCATCCTAAAATTTTGATTTTCCCCTAGAGAAGCCAGTCTCTAGGAACAGAAAGGGAAGTTTAAATGAGTGGCTTAGACTAAATGCCTGACTCATAGATGGATCCATATAGATGAGGTGGAGCCCAGCACACAACCTCACTAGAATATTGCACTTAGATTGCAGCCCACGTTACCTCCACTCTTATTTAATTGAGAGGAACTAAGCTAGTAGCTACCCTACTCTAATCTCTCTTTAATAGTAAGTTCAGACTGACAGGCATCTCCAGAGACCAAATATTAGATGACCTGAATCACCTCTTGGAAGTGCTTCTCCCTATCTCCTTGGTGATTGACAGAGCTGACAACGTCTGCTATCCTTAAGAGCCCTAATTGACTATGTAGACTTAGGTGGGAGGAAGTTGTCCTTGTATAAATAATAAGCATTTAAAACTAATCCTGTCACATTTAGCACCAATACAATTTGAGGGGAGATGAAGAAAAGAGGCAGGAGGACTGGTAAGTGTTACAGTAGGATGGCCAGTGTGCTATATGCTCTCTTACTTTATATCACATCAGAATAGTTTGTTATCTTTGATTCCTTTTTTTTTTTTTTTTCACTGGTGTTTCAAGTATTTTTAGGGCCATATATTCTGTTTTCAGTCACTCCCAGAAATTCAGAGGTTAGAAAAAAAAGGGCAGAAGCTGGCAAACATGCCTAAACCATTATTATTTCCATCAAACCATACATACATACATATATATAGATATGCATACATACATACATTATCTATATGTGGATATATTTAAACCATCATGGATACCTCTTTTCAAATAGTTTTAAATATTCCAGTACCTTTCCTTGCAGCCTAAAAAGGGGCCATCAACATTTTAAAACTCAATCCCTCACAGACCTAAAAATAATTTAAAAAAAAGATTTTGATAGCTACGTTCATAAAACATGAACCGAAGATCAGAAACACGTAAAACACTAGGGATGAGTAGGGGTTTTAGAATCTGGGATTATTTTCATATACATTTTAAGTAGTACAAGATGGCGAATCAAACATCTTATTTTAATGATGACCCTGGATTCCAAGGCAAAACAAAAGGTGTCAGGAAAATCTTACACAGGTTTCTGAATTGTATTTTGCATGCACAAAGTGATTTTTTTTTTTTTGTTTTTTTTTTTCTCCTGACTTCCCTGCTTCCCTGTCTAATTAAGAGGAATGAACATTGGCCTTTGTTTCAAGGCAGCCAAATTTTCCTAACTCAGGGAGCATCTGGTATTAATGGACCGCTTTTTATTACCAAATATATATCTTGTTTTTACCTGGTTGAGTTGTATCTAAAAGAAAGTATATAATATAATGCGGGAAGGGCAAGGCTGAAAGAACATACGCCTGATCCCAATCTACTCTAAAATGATGTAAGTTGGTGGCAAGGGAGGATTTACTTTGGATGAGGCCCTGGTACCTGGGAAGAAAAAAAAAAAATCCTTGTCCTATCTGAGTGTATCCACACTAAAGATATTAGCAGCACAACAGCCCTATTTGTGCCTCTAAGGCTGGCTGGCCATGGTCAGCAATTTGCCACAGATGCAGCCCATTCCCCAATCCTGACATTTGAGTTCTTTTGCATGGCAGTTCCTTTTTCCCTTCACTTGTTGCCCAGGTGGAGCTTGCCAGCAAGCCACCTAGCTACTTCACTTGGGTTAAAATGTTGACTTTTAGCCAACAACCCACCATTAACTGCACGTTAGTCAGCCGTAAGGACATAAACCCTACAACCTAATCCAGATCCATACTTTAACTCACGTTTTCGCTAAGGTAACAGAGGCTATGCATAAACACAAAGCTTCTGCCCATGATTTATGTTCAGAGATTAGAGCTTCCTAATGGTGTAAGGTAAGGTTCATGTTACTAAACATAATATTCTCAAGTTTGGTATCTATGTAAGCTTTCACCACCAGGTTTTTTCCATAGTAGAGTGAGAGCAGGTCTTTCCAAAGTATGAGTATTCCTAAAATACATGTCTGTGATAGATGAGATGAATCAAACTTGGAAATATCCTTCTCTGTACCTCTAAGGAACTCTAGACATCTACATTAGACTAAATGTTTCACTTCTGGATTCTTAAAGTATGATGAAATCAGTTGCATTCTGTATGAAATTCTTATGTGAAGATCCACAGGACTGAAATTCCTGTATAAAAAAAAACTTCAAAGCTTTTAATATATACATTATTATGTCTGAAGAAATGAAAGATGCATTTTGAAGGATGGAAAACAAAACAATCTCAATGTTTCTTAAAAGATCTTTCAACTTATACTTCAAACTAGAAATGTAGAAGAGCATTATTCTGAATACAACAAGACGTACACATTCAGTGACGCAACTGCTTGTAGCAATAGCTCTTAGAGTAAACAGAACTCTGAATATAAATTGCATTTAGAGTAACTTGCTCTGCTCCTCCAAACTTTACACTTCCCAGAAAGATTGGCAAAATCTGCCTCTCTCTTTGGGCAGCACATTGATAATTCTAACTGTATGATATGAAAAAAAAAAGAAAAAGAAAAGAAAGAGAACATGAGAAGGAAAGAAAGAAAAGGAGGAAAAGAAGAAGAAAAGGGAATGTACACCCCATATATGTGACTTTAAAAAAATACAGTGACAACATATTAACTTTAGATGAGATAACTTAAAATTTGGTCAATCTTACATGATTAAAAATAGAAAGAATAAATTTCATGTTATTTTTTATTTTAGAATAGGGTTTTGGAAGTATGCCACTTTTCTTTCAAGTGAAATTTTGAGTGAATGTATAATATTTTTTCTTCCAAATTATCATATTTGAAACCAAAATTTACTAAGCATAGTATTTTGTGAAAGCCGAATTTACGATAATGACTAAATAATATACTGTAAAGCTGTCTTGAGGTTTTAACAAGCCAGAAATAGATATTCTCTGTGTAAGTGACAATTTTATTAAACAGGACAAATAGACTGGTGAATCATTTTTTCAGTTTGTCCACTCCGAGATGAAACTTTCATCAGCTCAGGTTAGAAAAGGCTTTTGTCTACAGCTCTACATATGTTTTAAAAGACTTGCCTTTTTTTGAAATCCTCTAGCTATTTTAAAGGTAAAATTCCCATCTTTACATCATCTTCATCTTTAAAATGGCTCTTACCACAGGAGTAACTGTGGTTACCTATGGAGTAGCCAAGTCATGCTGAGAAGCTGTCTGTACCTCTCCGACTGCGAGGCAAAAGGAGCAGCAACTCTTAAACTAGATCATTACATGCCATTACCTGACAGAATGTGTCCTTAAGCCATTTCCCAAGACCCTGCGCTGCCATTAGCAGCAAATGATATGGAAGCAACCTTCTGAGGCCATCATCATGTCATCTCCAGTAAACTATGGGACTGTCCTAAACTGAAGTTCACATTTACCCTGCATAATATCCTCCAAAAACAGTCGCTCTTCTATGGAAGTATGAAGCAGGTTTACTATGAGCTGCTGTAAAAGATATTGTTTATTTCATTTTATGTTTGTTTTTAAAGCCCGTATTTTCAGCCCCTAAGCAATAGTGTGTTTGCTATTGTTTTGGCCAGAAAGAGGCAGGGAACCTTAGGGTACTATAAAAGATATGTGCGTATAAAAGCAAAAAAGCCAGAATAAAACCCTAGTGTGGGCTGTCGAGACTAAGCTGATCGCTTACTCAGAGGGTTAACATGTGCTAAAATTACATACTGCAGTTCCTAGCTTCACTGATGAAAACATTCACTGCTTCTATCTTTAAATAAAAAAGCAAAATAGCCTTAACCCTTTGAGGATCATGTTAGCAGCAAGTTGCAATCTAAACAGAGAACAAGTATTTCGATCAATTAGGAAATTATTCTTACAAAGATTCTGTAAACACCCTTTTGTGTTCCACCACTCGAGCTTTTAGCACTAGATAGATCAGCTGTAATCACTTCACACAGGTCTGAAAGATTTTCAGGGCTCAAAGGGTTAAAGCCAAGACTTTCGAGTAAAAGTGTTTTATTAAAAGGGTGAGTTAGGTGAGCGAACAGTCTCGGAGGAACTTGGTGAATAGTCTTCCGATTCGGAGTTGAGTTCAGGTGGAGCTTGCTGTGCCTTGTAACGTCCCCTCACATCCTGGTTGCGTCTTCGTCGGAAAACCTGCCTCTCCTTATCAAGAGCGGTGGTCTGGCAGGGGCATAAAATAAGAATAAATGAAATTAGGCTGTGTGTGAAATGCAAAACTAATGAAAACCATGAGTTTGTATGTGGCCTCCAAATACCAGGGATAATAAATGTTCAGACCAAATTAAACCTGTTCAGTTTCAGTCAGGTCTGAGAGGTTTAGCCCACAACATAGCTAAATGCTTTAAAAAGTGCATTTCCCAAACCTTAAGAGGTAGCGTGACATCATCAAGCAGATACAGTACCATGTATATGGATGCCATATGTTCTACTTCTGGATGCTATTAATTTAATACTTTAATAGATTCAAGTTTCAAGCCAAATACCAACTGACCTTCCCCCCACCCTTCTCAAAGTATAAATCTACTTCTACAGGCAAGGCAGAGATGTAGGCTTGTCTTTGCTGTGACCTAATGAAGGTTGATGCACACTCAGGCATGTGCAAGTCAGTGCAATTGGTTAACAGAGATGGATTGTGATGAAGTTGTCAGACAGGATAGAGAAACAAACAGCAAAGGAAGCTAGCCCAGCTCTGTGACACCTCCTCATGCCAGTCAATGGATGTTCTTAGGAAGAAGGCTGATGAGTTCTTACTGAAGAACCATTGAACCTGACCATCCTGCCTCCTCGTTTTAACCAAGGTCTAGAGAATTAAATAGTCCACTGACTATCTCAATTTGAGAAATATTGAGAAATGGGAATGGACATCTTTTACTTGATGACTATTTTATTTTTTCTTCCTGCTCAATTTCTGACACTGTTGGGACTATAGGTCTTAAGGGTGATGTAGCTTCTACAAGATAACCCAGGTAAAAGGTAAAAAATTAGTCTGGTCAATGATTTCAAATGTGGGATTGGGCTTCACTTGTTTCTTGATGACAAAACATGAGACTGCAGTCTCTGAATCTACTGAAAATTACAAATTCAACAGGATGGCCTTGATTCAGCAAGAGCACCTTGACACACACTGCTTTCTGAAGCAAGGCTACCTTCTTAAATCATAGCCCAGGATTTGAGGAAAAAGCAAAAACCGTAAAGGTAGGCAGCTAATAAGATGACCCACAAAATGCAATCAAATATACAATCATGGCACAGGAGCCAAAGACATTGGCAGGTTGAACTGCTGAAGGTTGAACTGCTGAAGGTTGAACTGCTGAATAGGTTGAACTGCTAAGGCATGTACATTTTTTTGCCTACTATGAAAAATCTCCATTTAAAAGAATGCAGCCAAGAGGTTCTCCTGCTTCGAATGATTTATTGCTTTCTCTTGAGATAAATTTGACTGGTTTCTCTAGAAAATTTACCAGTTATAGTGTGTGCCTCAACAGAGAACAAAGATATGTTTACACCCAACATATTTTTGAGAGTAAAATGAAAACTAAACCTGCTATACTAGTGCAGAATAGCATTATAGCAATCCATGCTCTGAAATAATGCAATCAGCATTCAAAAATGATGTAATAGTGACAGAAAGATAGACACGAGTACAGAGCTACTATAGCAAATGGATTAGGTAAGGCTAAATTGCTGAACTATTATTTTTGTGTCCAGAACCTACAAAGCACTATTTTAAAAGGGTAGAATAATTAACTTTGATAAATTCATCCCTGTATTTTAAATAATAATTGCTACAAAATCCAACACTTATCATCTGCTGAGAATTTCTTTGTTTACTGCTAATCTTTTGGTTAAGAAGTCTAATTAGTATTCCTCAATGTATGGTACATTTCTTAAGTCTTGAACTAACTCAGTTTTTCATTATGTTTTAATGCGAAACAGAAGAATACCTACGTCCTTTACACATAGTGAATATACTGCATACAGTATGTAATTCTGTGTGAAAATTGAAAAGAATGGCAAGTATTACCATTCTATAAAATACAGATTTATATTTAAAAGAAATTTTATGCTAACAGGAAATAAGCATTTATTTAAAGTTTAAACCACATCACATCATCTCATGGTAACAGATATTCTCCACTGAAAAAGTTAAACATTTCTGGTTAGATAAATAAAAATACTTGTATTATATTAAAAAATATATATTTTTAAAATCTGGTGCATGAGAATGGTAAATGTATATGTAAATGCTGAAAGTATTTCAAGATAGGTAAGTTACACAAAACAGAATACTCCTGAATAAAACATTCCCTTTAAAATGTAAATGTAAAATGTAATTTCTTTTAAAAGACAAAGTTACAAAATTGCAAAATGCACCAGATAATTAAACATCATGGTATCACTTTAAAGATGTCTTTAAAAAATAAAATCCAAGATACTGCTTTTCTATCATTATTATCAATTTTGGGGGGCTTTTTTTTTTTAAATATACCTAAAGACATTTACTGCCTTTAATAATCAAAATGGTAGAGAAGACAAAAAAGTGATGATACCACTTATTCAACACCTTACACTGTGGTTTGTAGGACCAACTATTTCTGGTTTCCTTCAGAAACTTCCTGGAAGATTGCTGAGGTGACATTTCCCTTTACATTTTTGGTCAAAGTCTCTACTGAATTTCATCTAATTGGTCTTTATTTATAAAGATATATTTGTAGACTCAGTGGCACTACGTGCTTACTCTCCTGGGCTGAGTGACGCATCAAGTCTTTTCTCACCTCAAAACAAAAGTCCTATCAAATAAAATTTTTAAGGCCTGAAAGAGTCAAAGTAGGAAGTATTTATCTAGGAGAAGCAAAAATACAAAAAATCACCTCATTACAATACCTAGTGTTTAAAATGCCAGAACCACAAAAGGATTCAGTTCTTGCGACACATGGGAGCACTCCCAATATCTACAAAACTTCTGAGATTTAGCATGCTTTGCACTTTGCTGCCTCTTACATTGCCATACAGCATTGCCATTCTGCATTCTGCACAAATGTCAGTTTTCATTGAATGAGACCTCTGAAGAATTTCAAAGTATAATGGATTACTCTTTTGGAAGGTGTATATTTTTGGATGGTAGTGTATATTGGAGCATTGACTGTGTGTGCTTTATAAGTGTAATTTTTATCTACTGTACTCTGTGCATAGGAGCATATTCTAAATGTGCTATTGTGCTAAAAATACGCATTCTGATTATTATTACTATTTTGATAACAAAACCCACTTATATTCATTTCCTTGGTTTAATAGATTTATTATTTCATCTACTGTTCAGCTGGATAGTTTGCTAGTGCATGAACCGGCCCATTATGGATTTTCAGGGCATTTCTACTTTAAGCTACTCTTTCAATAAATAATAAGAGGATCTGAAGTGCACTTATGCTTCACAGGGCTGCAAATCCCAGATTTTCATTATCACATTTTGACACTTTTTTTCTCAGCTTGCGATGAGAGAGTGAGAACTTTGAGGACTACATGATAGTAATGGCAACTAAATGCAAGTATAGCACTTTTATTTAACATATGCAGATGTCATCTTACAATCCATATGAGGAAATGGAGAGCTTCTTATCCAGTAGCAGATAAGTGGATTGCCTCTAATAGTTTAGTGCTGATGTGTGTGAAGCACTTCATTAAGCACTAATGTATTTTGCACCATCATTTAGTAATCCTGACACCCAGTACCAAATGGTTAACATGCTCTTTTTGGAAATGCATTTAATTTGAAGAAACAGAACATTATTGTAAAATCATTGTTTCTATTACGCATATACTCAAGTGCAGTTAGCATTTTTCTAGGATTTTACCATAGGGTGTATCTTTTACCTGATCTCTAAGCCATGATGTTGCAGGACACCTAAGCCATGCAAATTCTTTGTTTCTTGGAAAATGTTGGATTCTGTGTTTATGAGCAGACGTTCAAAAACTACAGCTGCTTTGACATACATGTTGGATTGGGAGGATGTACATGTTGCAGTGAGAAGAGCCTTATTTTGTCTGTGAGGTGATATTTTCTGTCAGTCCAGTAATATTAGGTTGAAGTGATTGCCTTTTATGAATGCAAGCATTGACTGTTTTTCTATTCACTTGTCTTAATTTACTGCTGGTCACCATATATATATATATATATTCATTTCCATTAATAAAAGAACATTATTGTGCATTTTGTCTCTTCATCCATCCATTATTCATACTAGCTAGGAGACTGAACTGGAGATGCAGCTGTTCATGCATTAATCTAAGAAACCTTTCCCTTCACTTGCTTTAATTCTCCAGGAAAATATTTGCAATTTGTTTGCCATTTTAGCAATGCTTTTTTGCATTCTAGAATTAGATGGACATAGTTGACGTAAAAATGGTATTTTTCTTCCAGTGCATTGTTTTATATATGTTCATGTATATGAGTATATTTAAATGTTCAAATCTAGATAATCTTACCCTGCTCATTTTTAGTTTCTGGCTAGGGCTCTTGATAGAGCTCTAATGTTTAGAGTGTTTAGGGACACAACAGCAGATTTCCCCATTGTAAAAGTGACCATTAAGCATAAAGCTTAAGCATAAGCATAAAGCAATAACAGCAGCTTTACAATGCAAGGCATGAAGGCATGCCAGGCAGCCTTCTGCTGTGGCACGTTTTGCTTCCATGGGCCTCTCAGGTAGTATGATTAATTCATGATCCAACTGCACTTTTGGGCAGTACTTCAAACTTAGCAATGCACCTTAGGCCCAGTGTGGAAGACACATGTTATTTTCAGTCCCTCAGGCAAAGCTATAATTAAGTTACATGGTGATTTGGAGATGTACAAATGACCACATCGAGGGGACACATGAATCGAGTGGATTTGAACCTAGACCTCCAAATACAAAAGGCCAGTGCTTTGGTGCACCATGTAACTTCTGGCACAGCATTAGCTAAAATGAGAGGAAAAAAAGAAATAAAACTAAATCTCTAAAGGTCCCTTCCAAGTTTAGGGATTCTATGATTCTATGTATGCTTTGTACTGCACTGGTGGCTGAATACAAAGATAAGTATTCTACATGTGTAACTGCTGGATTCATGCTGCTACATTTAAATGTGTGTTTACTCTTTGACATCCCTCACTTTTTAACACACGATTCCTCAGCTGGTTTCAATTACATGTGGAAGAGACCTAGTGCCAAGTTGTTTGCATGGGTGAATTTTATTTATAGTTTGTAAATCAGTTGTGGTTTTCTTAGTCAAAGAGCAGGAAAAGAGATTTTAAATGAGTTTAGGTGTTTGTCTGTTTTTAACCAGGATTAAGTTTACTGAGGGTTTTACTATATTAAAGAGGGCACTTTGCAGACATTGAGCCTCATTCCCAACTACTTTTGACTCAGTAGTGCATTGTACTCATTTGGGATATCTGTAAATGACTTGACAGATGCAAATTAATGGGAATTCGGTAGAAAACACATAAGATAGAACTATGGACTTTCAAATCAGCTATTCAGATCTTTTTTTTTTTTTTTTTTTTTTTTTTTTTTTTTTNTTTTTTTTTTTTTTTTTTTTTTTTTTTAATTTGTGACTATGAGAATTATCTTTCAAAAGCCAGTATCCTGTGAATTCAGAACTGGCAGGACTGACAACTTCATTGCATGTCTTTGTAGTCAGTCTCCTTAGTATTTATTACCATTACACAATAAGACAATTGATACCTTAATCCCCACATATTTCTTGTTTATTTTATTGCTCTTTTAACTTTTGGATAGTGTCTGTGGACATATCAGAAGTAATACATAATAATAGTTTATATTAACATTATATATATTGTGTCACTACCTAATGTATTATACTAACATTTTACATTAGGTTCATTGAATCTGATGTATCTGATTCAGCCTAGAGAAGGCAGAAAATTCAGGCAATCCTGTCAATCACAAGTTAAAATTCAGACAGGAATGTAATACAGTAAGGAAATTTGGGGTCAAAGAAAAATTGTTGGGTTGCCACCAAAATGAGCTGCCACTAGGAGGAATAGTTAATGCAGATGAAGAAGACTATATACTGCACGTTTCAGCACTTAGATTCAAAGAAAAGGCTTGAAATATTGGAAATTATTCTTAATATCCAGAACTTTCTTGTAAGAAAGTAAACCTATCAGTTATAATGTTTCTTGGGGACAATGTTGGTGATACTCTATGTCTTTGAATTTTTTATGGTCATCATTACTATGTTCCAACAAGTAAGTTATAAAAAAATGAACCCATGGGTTTTGATCCTGTGAAAGGATCCATTAAAGACTGGGCTTTCACACAAGAAGAAAAAAAAAAGATCCACAGCATAATATATCTGCAGAGGGAGGAGTATGGGCAATTTCTGCTGACTTTGACTTGGGTTGATTTTGGTGATTTGGGGTGGCTGAAGCAGATTGCAGCATATCCAGATGTTACATATTTAGCCCAAAGCTGGCTTTCTTGGCTATGGATAGCAATAAAAAGTTGGCAGCCTCAGTTCAAGGCACACAACGCAACTTTCCCTGGGATCTTGGGATGTCATTCCCTATTGAAGCTACCTTAGCTGCCTCTGCATGTCTGATTGCAGGGATGATGTTTCAATGACATTATATGTCATTGCTTTTAAAATCTTTGCATCCAAATTATTTTACTGAATTCACTGTTGTATTTTTCCCATTCCTCACACTCAAGGTTTTTCAGACATCACATCTAACAGCTATTGCTATAAATAAAATGTGTCGCATTTTAATACCCCAAAAAAGTCATTTAACTTAAGAACACTTGCACATACTATCTTCCTGCCAAAAAAATAAAACAGGACACAAAATCGGTGCTTAGAAAATTACGACTTTGAGGCACTTTTTAAAGAAGAAAGTCTTTCAGGTAGAGAAAGGAAGAGGTTTTCTGGTTGACTGCAGGAGGAAATAGTGCCATTTAAAAAGATATTTTAGAAGACTGCTAGAAACTAGGGATGAAAATGATCAAAGGAGTGGAGAAGAAATGAATAGTTTAACATTAACAAAGGGAGTATTACATTTTCCTTTGGACATGCTTTCACATATTGCTGTACTTGTGAATTCACGTTAATTTTCCTGGGCATGTGATAAATTGTTTTGTATATAGGAATTGATGAATATTTCATATGCTTTGCATTTGGGCTCACAGTGCCTACTAGTAAACTACTGCTAAACTGACATATACTAAAATGTTGATTGCAGCAATAGAGACCAGTGCCTCTTGCAAGGTAACAAGCCTTAGAGCATCCCCTAATTAAGCATATAGCCTAGGAGCACCACTTCCCCAATTTGCCTTCACACACTAGGTGCGCTGTTTAGAAAGCACTAATTGTTGTTACTGCCCCCAGCTGGAAAACAGAGCAGTTTATGTGTGAATAAGAGAGATTATCGCCCATCTGCTCCAGCCCATTATTCAAGGAAATGTCATTTTGTATGCCTATGGCAGCCATTACTGGCGCTTTAGTCAAATGGCCTTTTTTGTTTGTTTGTTTTGTTTTGCTTTTATAGTATTTATTTATTTACCAACTTGCAGAATTACAGGCTGCCCTCCTCCCCCCAGTCCCCCCTCCCCGCAGTGCATATGGTTTGTGTAAAAATCTGGGCTCTGCAGTTAAACTGAGTCAAGGCCAATCTGGGAGAGGAGACCGTCTCTTTTCTCACAGACTCTTATTTTGGGTGGTCTGTTTCCTCTGAAAGGGGAATTTTTAAGAGATCTAAATATTGAGTATGATAAGTAGAAAGATATCGGATTTTTTTTGTGTAAAACTAAAAAAAAAAAAGCAAAGTTGCAAAGGAGTACATAAGCAGGTCGTGGATAGTAATTAAACTCCAGCAAGACAGATCAGCAATAGAGCTCCTCTGAGCTTCCCTCTGGTTTCCAGAGGAAACATTAGTTTCGCAACCACTTGACAAACTTTTGACAAAAAAAGGTCATCTTTCCTAAATGAGTGAAAATAAAAATATTTCCAATGCTACCAAACCCACATGGAGCCAAAGCTGGGTGCTTAGGACCCACAGAAATGCTGAAGATTCCCCCCTTTTCCAAGAAAAAAAAGCACGGATGCCATGCTGCTGCCTCCTCTGTGCACTGTGTTGTATGAACAGGGCCATGGGAACATGGTGCTGTCTGGCACAGCAGACACATTTTGCCATTTCTGCAAGCTGCAGTAGGTTCAGAGGCATGAATAAGATTGCAATAGGCATAAATGTGAAAAAAACTACTCCAAAACATTTGAGCCCTTGGGGTGAAAGTGTTTCCCAATTAGTTTTAGCCAGCATTTAATTCACTGGTGGGTGGGAACTACTTTTCTGCTTCTTGGCTGAAGAGGAGGATTTTTCTTTCTTTCATTCTTTCTTTTATTAAATTCCCCAGAACATCCATATCAGAATCCACGTAATTCTCTGTGTGCGCTCAGGGAACTGCTAGGTTTTATGGAAACTGTGCTGCAGTCCGGTTCATGCATTCATGAAATGAGACAGGGAGGGGATTGGACTTCCCTGGGAACACTTGCAATGTTCATCTCTGCTGTTTCACTAATATGGTTTAATTTGCTGATTTTTTTCCCCAAATACCTCATCGGTGAGGTTTTAAAATTGCGCTGTTAGAAAAATGCAGGATTCACGAGGAGCTTTGAGCAAATTCTCTGACCATCACAAATGAGGTCTAGCGAGTAAAAACCAGGCAAAAAGCCAGCAAACAACCACTTTATGAAAATCATAGGGGACTCGATCGGTTGAGGTAGCGAGAGGGCCTGCTGTGGGCTAGCAGAACAGGATCCCTCCTTGCCCCCATTCCCAAATAACCCCCTCCCGCCCCAGCTCCTGATTTATCATACAGGTCAAGCCAACTAACGACAACCCTGGCACGGTTACACAATGAAGAGAAAGATATTGAAAAAATCATGCAGTGTTAAAATGAATGAATAAATAAAAAGGGCGTAGGTATCAGAAGGATTTTTGAAAAGGAAAAGAAGAGCGCACTGCTGGAAACACAAGCTTACCCACACGTACAATGCATTGTGCTGCACTGCACTTGGGAGAGTTTCTACACACGACGGTGGGCGAATGCATTGTGCGGTCTACGGTAAGGATTGTGTTTTGTGGCTTTGCAGTGACACTATATAGCTCCACATCTCACATGGAAAACAAAACCAAACCAAAAAGAAGAAAAGAAAAGGAAAAAAAGAAAATAAATAAAAAAAAAGGAAGAAAAAAGGAAGATATATGCTGAGCCCCTGTTGCTGCTCCGTGTGCTTAAACGCAGGAGCGCGCAGGGAGCAGATGCCTTTGCAAGCAGTAAGGAGGGGGAGGGCACATACTTCAGCATATCTCCTGTTTTCTATACGCACTGTCCTCTTAGCTATAGGGAGACTGGGTGCTGAGCATGTGCGATGAGGAGGAAGCGGGCGATGCCGGCGGCGTGGATGACGGGTGAGGAGCAGGAATGAGGGGGAGTGGCGTCTCAATCAAGGTCCAAATGAAACCGATAAAGCAGCATATGGACTGGGTAACAAATCAAAAAGCATGTTTATCCACCGAAGGAACTGGTTAATGGAGACTGCCAGCACGTTGCCATGGAAACACTGACTGTTGGAGCTGCACCATCGCATACCTTATCCAATACATTCCTGGTTGTTGGTAGTAGTCCAAAGACCCTGATCTCTTGATGGTAAACCCGTGGTCCAGCTGAGCAGAGAGAAACGGGGCAACTCAGTGGATCGACATTATGCTAAAGAATTAAGACTCCAGAGCAAGCTGTTCCTTATTTAAGTGCATATTTACGGTTTTCACTTTCAGAAGGCACTTAGCTAACAGCCTACGTCTACGCATCGGAGACAGAAAGCAAAAAAAAATAAGTAAAGAAAAGCCAAAGGAAAAAAGCAAAGAAATGAAAGGAAAAGATACTAATTCTAGGCTTGCTCTTGTTAAATTAGAAGCCAATTTACCCCAACTAAAATGGAGTTTGTGAAATAGGTTCCTTAGTGCATAATGCATTCATTTAAAAGTCTGACAAATATCTTGTTACCTCCAAAGACAGAAGTGCCCTTTAAAGTTGCACATACCAGTAATGGAAAATTATCTTTTGCAATTAAATGGAGTGGTTTTGTAATTTGAACAAAAAAAAAAAAAAAAGAAAAGTAGTGCAACCATCACAAGGAGCAGGCTAGACAGACTACACAAGGCTTAAATTAGGCTGCTTCATAATCGTGGAATGTGTAAAGATGAAAAGAATCAGGTTTTGATACCCCATCAATCATGGTAATTCATTTTTAAAAATGCGTTAACCTTGGAGAGCAGGACCACTCAGGGCCAGGAATAACGTTGTTTATCATTTCAGCTTACACCTCATGCTCAAAAAGATAGAAGTTCAAAACAATTACATTGAAAATTGCACCAATTAAAGTCCAAATGGAAATGAACTTAACGTTGTGTCCAGCAAAGTGCGCTCATTGCAGAATTTAAAGAGTAGAGATCCTTTGAGCTTAAGCTTCTCACTAGCAGAACTGGGCATACAGGAACAAAGAAAATATGTTGTTTTCTCTAACCCTTCTGTGCTGTCCTAACATATGGTTGAGAGAGCGTTTAACTGAGTTAAATATAATTTTAGGGGAAAATATCTTAAGAGAGATACTCTGCCCACTTCAATACTGGAGATGGCAATGATTTTCTCGTTGTGCCCTATGAAGAGAAAAGGCCATTTTGTGCTTCATTAGGAGCGTGGCATATATTTCCAATACTGATGACAGTCACTAATTCTAAATGCAGAAAAGCAGTTCAATGTGTGCCTAGCTACCAGCTATGTTAAGAGTCTTTGGGATCTAAATAAATTTACGGTTTCCTTGATGCCTGTGCTGCAAGTATAGAATTTAATAATTTATTCTGTTTGGTTAAAACAATGCCTGTTTCATTTTATTTAGAATTATTTAAAGGGCATTTTCTTTTTAAGAACAGGAAAACCTTGTAGCTATAGTTAATTTTCTGTAGGCTTAACTACACTGGTCTACTATTGCCATCTTCTGGCATCCTAGTGTATTGCATATAAAAGACACAAAAGGGCTGGGTTTTGTTCTGTTTTATTTTGGAAAGAACCAGTGTTCACAAATTTAATAGACAAAAAGAAATAGAGAGAAATATCGAGGAAGCTGCGTCTCTAATTTGAGGTCAAACAATTTAGTCTCCGTGGAAATTATTCAATGAATGAACAAACTGTGCACAGTGATCCCTGGACAGCACAGGTAGCTACAAAGTGACATTTAAGTCGCAGGTTTTTCTTTAAGGCAAACAAAACCAATATACTTGGCTTCTCTTCCTCTCCACCCAAGAAATCCTGCTCCTAGAAATGCCACTGGTGAGCTGTAATATTATTTTTGCAATCAGCAGAGGGCTTGGAAATGCCTCCTTGCTCTGCCTTCCTCACCTCAGCTTGTGACTTTGGCTATCTAGGGTGTCTCCAGCATTTAGGAGGCAGAAAAGCTGCCCTCTTTCTCTTTCCTACCTGGTTCATGTGAGTCTCAGGCTGGAATTTAGTCCCACTGCCAAGACAGAGACCTCACATACCCTGAGCACAGCGTTATCGTTAGTCTTTTCCTCTGCCTTAATAATGGCAAAAATGCAAGCACAAAGTGACAACATACAGGCAAAGCTTTAACACTTGAGACAAGACCACAAATTGAACGATGCTCGGTTAATATACAGAATTACAGCACATCTCTGGATTGCAAAGCAGTGTTAGAAATGTTTTTAGTTCTCTGTTCCTTAATTTAGACAAGGCCTTTAAAATGTATAGGGCCATAGGGTACTGTTTAGTGGCCAAAGAAACAATGGGGTGACATATTTGCATAGCTGAATGAAAAATTCTGCCCCAGACGTTTCAAAGGTCTATTTAGTAAACATCTATTTTTATGTTTTCATTGCAATAGTTTTTAAAAACATTGTGATGCAACTATAAAATATTATTCCTGTTGGAAAAGCTATAAGGAAAACCTGATGCCACTAATGTTTTGTCTCATAAATATCTTGTGAGACGGGCCAAAGGGACACCGAATCTCACAGCTTGTCTTTGACAGCAACCTGTAGTAGATGCTTATGAAAAGAGCTTAGGAGTAGGGCAGGAACAATGATATTTCTCCGACATACTCTCCCATCAACAAGCAATGTGTTTTAGGGCTTGTTTAAATTTTTTGTTTTAAAAGCTGGCTCTCCAATTGCATTTTGCTGGAAAAGCTACGCTAGCCTAAGGGAATGAGTGCTCTTTCCCAACTGACACATCGATTCAGAAATCTCTGCCCCTACCTCTTTGCCTGTATCCCTAATTTGAGGGAAGCATCTTCAGCTACACCAGCAAGGAGCTGCTTTGACAGCCACGCACAGGGCATCATTCATCACGTTAGTTCATCCAAATGGACAAATTCTTTCAAAGGTAGATAAACTTGAAGTCTGGACATGCGCATGGGAACTTAGAGTAGGTCTCTGGCCTAAATGGGCAGACATAATTTTTACTGAGAATTACTAAGCAGACCAAACTAGCGTTTCCCTGACCAAAAGGAGTAGGCACAATGTATAGGAATGCAGCTGAAGGAAACAGGAGCCACAGTACAGACGCGTAAAATACATGTGGCTTCAAACTTCCAGCTAATCATGCTGACCAACTTCAGCCAAACTCAACCTTGTTAACATAATTTTCATATTAGTTTTAATTGGTGCACATGAAGAATATAGCTTGAGATCTTTGAGGTGTATTACTGCTTAACACAAAAGAAAACAGGCATATAATGTCATATCATTGTGAGGAAAAATAAATACCCAACTAAACAGCACAGATTGGCTCTGTCTGGAAGCTAAAAATGTTAAAAATTCAAAATAATGCTAAGATTTCTAATGGATAATATTAAATAATCTAAAAAAATATATGCACATATTAACATATCTTCACAAACACACACACACAAACACAGATGTGTTATATAATATATAGAATTCTACATTATATATTATATACACAAGCATTCTCTCAAAACTTACAGTAAACATACAGGCAGGCACAATAAAACTGTTTTTCTTTAGAAAATAGTGCACTCCTTTAGTGCTGAACAATGTGTTACAGCATCTGTGTATATCTTGAAAATTTTAAATGTAGAGCAGGCTTAGATAATAAGATTTACTTCTATGATATTTGATATCACAGTGAAAAAGAAGATTCCCAAATGTAAACCCTTAATGACTAAGCATGTCAAATCTAAGTTACAAATGCTTTTAAATGCAGCAACAACAGTTAAAGGTTTGCTTTGTTGGTTTACTTTTGGCTTTAATTTACTTATTAAGTTAGTTTTATATCAAATAAAGGTAATTTATTCCTAAAATCAAAATTATCCAGCCTTCTGGAACATTACCAAACACTAAAGAGAATTGTACTTTCCCAGCTCCTCCAAGTTCTTAGAAAATAAGTGACAATAGCTAAGCAAATCACTTTGTTTTTTTAATAGTCTGAACATTTCTATTTTATAGGCAAAACTGTAGAATTCATCATGCCAAAGTGTGATATTTACCATAGAGATGACCACTAAAAATAATTTGTTAAATTTCAAACACTAAAAAAATGCTGTTAAAGACTATAAATTAACATATATGTTTTTTTCTCATGTATAATGTTTTTCAGTGGAGAGATTCACTACAGTGCCTTTTCTCATTACTCAAGGGTCAAACTGCTGTAAACACGTTCCTTGACGGAGCAACTGGGGCAAAGAGGACAGAAAGAGAAAAAAGGAGGGTTGGGAAATTAAAAAATAAAAAGGAGGCGAGGGATGGATGAAGACAGAGGCATCATTTCTTGCTTCTAAGCTGTGCAGTCATTTGCAGAACGGCTCTGGGCAGTAATTCTCATGGACAAGCGTGCTGGCAGTCCATTCGCACAGAACACGGTTTCAGCTAGTCTGTACAGAACATACCTGCATTTCAGATGAGCAATGGGTATGTGATGTTTTAGTTGTGGGAGAGCTGTTGCAGGGTTATTGCTTAAAAAATGAAAATAAAAAAATGCTGACTATGTTAGCTGATGACCAAGAAAAAAACCTAAGAAAAGCATGAGGGACAATTTGCTTCCACGCTGAGAAGTTCAGGGTTGGAAAGAGTAAAGAAAAAAATATGAGAGAGGCACAGCTTGAAATTGTAAGTACTTTATACCGAGTTAACTTTGGGAGAGTTTCCATTTTGCTGCACAAAGAGATCACACCTGTGAGCCAGACTGCATGTGCTGAGCTGAGTTTACTTCATGCTGATTTAACTCACCACTGGAGGGGCTGAGCTGAGAAGCATGAAAGTGGAAACAGTACAAGAAAGTGTACATGTGCAGTAACACCACCTGCAATTTATGGAAGCTGGGAATGAACACGGAGTAATCCAATATGGGAATGGTTATGTTTAACGTGTCACTTATTTTTAGTGACTATCTGGAGCATTAGCATTACCATGAGTAATAAAGAAAAGCTTACAAACACAGGCAGATGTATCAAAAATGTAAAGGATGTACATGTCACTACTTAATGGCATTAGTATGAATAATCTCATAAAATGCTGAATATCGTCTGTGTGCATGTATATCTAATACACATGTTCCTCTTTGGAAAAAAATACAAATGTACGAGATTTATACTGCACTGAGGATGCCACTGAAACTTGAGCAGAGCTTGGTCAAGAGCTTTATCACGCTTGGTTTCAGAAGCTCCAGTGCATTGTAATACTTGGAATACCTAGACTGTACAAAAGGTAGCAAGAAGTTCTTTAACAAATCTAGCCCTTCTGCCCAAAAGGGAAGGAGCTAGCAAGGTGCTTGCGCTTGAGGCATGTAACCAAATAAAATATTGCTGCTCAGCTACATCTGAAATGGCTAGTTGGTATAAACCATGAAGGCAGCACTTTTCAGTATGCAGTGAGCCATCACAGCTCTCTTTGGTATCTCCCGAGAAGAGCTCAGGTTGTTGTACAGATTTTCTGTAACAATTCTGGAGTGATTTCCACTCATTGTAAAGTGCTGCTGTCCTTCCGCTACAACCTCTGTGTTGCCTCAATCCGTGTGATGATTCTGCTGACAAGTAAAATGACATGATCCGACAGTTTCAAATGTTGAATTTACACTGGAATTAGCCCACTGATCTTCTGTTAAAATATAGAAGTGGGCTTACTTTTTGCATCCTAGAGCTGTTAAATAACAACTTAAGGAGAGGAGAATCAATGGAAAAACTGTGCAGAATCTCAGTCCAAATGCTAGAATATCTACAGATCAACCCTCTCTGGCTTCTCTTGGTGGCATTTCCTAAACACACACTGCCTTGTGGTCACATATTTAAATGTGTCAGCTGTGTATTTCAGATGCTTACTGCTATGACAGAAACTCCAGCTGCAGTGCTGTTCGGCTTAGGGCCTGTGTTGAAATGCTTCTTTATCTTCCCAGCTACTGATAACTGATGCTCATTCTCTGGAAGGCCATCATCCTGTGGAGAAAGGAAACACAATAAAATTTCAGAGAGAAAATGCAGAATAAAGGTATTGTGAGGTGATTCTGATAGCACCCATCATTGCAGAAAAGTTTAGGAATAAAAATTGTATTGCAGTATCTGTTAGTCATTGTCCCCATTAAAATATCTAAGCTATTTCCAATATAAATGTCATATTGGACCATGAAACCAGCCTCTCTCCTCTTTTTACTCCTCCTTCTTAAACTTTCGGTGATGTAAAATAACAATAACTATTAAATATTTTACTCTTATTTCTAACATGTCTTAACTTGCATTGTCCAGTTGTTTTTATGTCCATTAATATTTTAATGCATGATAAACTTGTTCCTATTCCTTATTTTGTTGACTCATCAAAATAAATTTTAAAGATATTGATCTTGAATGCAACAAGTGCCCAAGGGATTAGAGAAATCAGAAATCCATTTCTGGTAGGAAGCAGGAAAGAGAGCCCCACGAAATACCGTTTGGGAAGACACGGTTTTAAACAAATTGTCTTTCAGTAAGATTAAAAAAAAAAAAAGGAAGCTCCTCTGCAGCAGTGTGAGGAGAAGACTGAATATTGAAGGAGTTTGAGGCAAGCATGCACTAGCTGTTTGTCAAAAACTGACCTGAGTGAAGGCAACTTAAAATACTTAAATGGGACCTCCACAGCTCAATCAGACAGGCCACAGATTAGGGACTGTTGGCTTGAAGGACCACAGCTCCAGTTAATATCCAGCTCTCATTGATAGTCCCATGAGTCTCACTGAGAGTCTCACTGAGTCTCATGGTGAGGAGATCCAGGCTAGGTGGGAATTCCCGGCTTCCCAGCAATGCTGAGGGCTCTTAAAGGAGTTGCATGGTTGCTGCAGTAATTCATGAGCTCTGTGAGCATATGGGAAATTTAGGGAGGTTAGTTTGGGTTTGTGATTTATTTAGTTGGGGAGTTTGTGTTTAGAGATCCCTCTCTCACCCCTTCATAAAACGTCTCAACTGGAAAATCTGGTCAAGTGCACACAGCTGCAGATCGCAAACCAAACCAGTGCAATTCAGTAGTCTATTGCTGTCTAGCACTGGGGAGTCTTGGCTCGGGGATATATGACCCCTAAAAATAACCTACGTTCTGCTGACCTTGCCTTTCTCAGAAGAAAGCTCGCCTATATAGCTAACTCCTCTCCACTGGAAAGGAAAAAATAAAGATAATTGTCTTGGCTGTCTTGACATGAAAGCCTGCCAAACTTTCATGTCATCTTGTCAGAAGACTAAATTACAGAGCAGACAACAGTTACCAAGACTGTGGTAACGTTTTATTGGTGAAGTACCACCCGCACAACCCCAGTGGCAATATGCCAGAGATGTAAGTATTGACTCCAGCTTTTAGATAATATATCTTCCAGCTCCATTTAAGACGCCACACAGGTATATGTGGGAATTATTCTGTCACTCTTAAGTTTTCTAACTGCTAGGGATACTACCTGACATTTTCTAGGTTCCAAAGTGTATTGTAAAAAAGTTAATTTATATACAGTGGCTCCTGGAATCACTTCAACCAACACTAAAATAGATAGATATTGAGGGCAAGAGATGACAGCTGTTTATCTACACACAAAACAAATTGCTCTGTGGTTTAAAATATTTATTATATACTATAATATAATATATTTTTTTTATACTTATATACTATATATAGTATATAAGCATATATTTTATACTTATATTTATATTTATACTTATATATTATATATATATTATATATATTATATATATACTTATATATTTTATAAGTATACATTTTATACTTATATACTATAATATACTATAAAATATTTATTTATACTATAAATATATTTAGTATTATATTATAATATAATTTATATAATAAATTTATATTATATTATATTATATTATATTATATTATATTATATTATATTATATTATATTATATTATATTATATTATATTCCTGATAAAATTTATATTCCTGATAAAAACTTCGTCAAGATGCTATAATGGGAAGGATTACTGAAGAGATTATTACGGTTTATCTCCTCTACTTTAGGTATATCAACTACTTTTTGCAATGGGTGATGATTACAGAATTTCATCTTAACCTTTAGCAGTCAGGACAAGAGCTTTTAAAGATGACTAGCAGCTTTTGGTGATCAACTCTGAGAACTTTAAAAGGGCCAACAGCTTCAGAATTGCTGATTGCTGACCCTCTGTAAAAAAGAGCTTTCCTTAGCAAGTTTCAAAAATAAAACAACCTAAATCACTGACCATTTCAAAATGATGGTCAAGAATTTTCAGCTAGCTTCCATTTAGTGCTTGGGATCTTGAGATCTTGGGGGTTTTTGTCCTAGGGATCTGTAAAATGCACTTTTGCTTTATTTGCAAGTACTAAGAACAATGAAACGCCAGAAAAAAAAGAGGCAGAGTGTTATGGCACTACTTGACAGTGCAACAAACACTATTTTCATATTTGCATCACTCTACAAGGCAGGACACATTGTTACTCAAAAGAAAAATAGAAGTGTTAAAAGGCTGAGCAAAGTTCAGGAATCCCAGACTCCTACTGCCCTGGAGCACTCAGATCCCTTTCACAGGCTGGTCACAAGAGGCTTGCTTCCCAGACCTAAACGCACCAGATGAAGAGGTCATTATATAAATAATAGTAGAAAATTAGAGCAAATAAAAGTGCCGGAAAAGCATTTTGACTCCATTTCCTTTAAGGATTACAAGGAGATTTTTCTTTGGGTAGTGTCTTAGAGTGTGATCAAAAATACTGCAGCTGCCAAAGAAGAAATGTCTTCTTAAATTAACTTCCTCACAAATATTCACTTTATTACTATTTACTAGTTGGTTATTCATTTATTACACAAACAAATCTCCAAGGCAAGCGTCTTTAAGGAAATATAAGGCAAGTATGTTTAAGGAAATATTTCAAAGCTACAGTTTCCCTAATTCTTTTCAAGCGGGGATTACAACCTTACTCCTCCAGCAATAACACACCATGTTTTTTATTGATTAGTTTAACAGAGAAGGATTTACAGAATGTAAACCTTCTCTTTCAGCATTCATTGACCAAGGCTGTATGATAAATTAGGAAATATTTACTTCTCATCCAACAAAAAGGAGAGTAGATTTGTCCCATAACTTGCCAATAGCATACTTCAGGTTATATAATATTACCAATGATTAAAATGTCAGACTTCAAGCTTCCAGCCCCTTTTATAACTCTTTGGTTTTGCAAAGAATTTGAACAGGTAAAGGAAAGAGCTGGGGTCCCAACAGGGGAAGTATAAACTGGTGGGTTTGTTTCCAGGTCTAAGTGTACTGCATGTGAGAGACAAATCCAAATAAACTAAACGGAGGGGGCAGAGAACTGCTGCTGAATTGCATTTAGGATCCAAGATCTCCATCTGTGGCAATGGCAAGCAGCCAACATTTTTTTCAGGTTTTGTTTTTTGAATTGAAAACAGCTGGGAAATTATTGACATAGGAACTGCTTTACTGGCCTGACTCTGACCATAACAAGTTTTGCAGTTTCCAAGAGGATTCCAGCTATTTTTATAGCAAAAACTGAAACTGAAATGAGGGTTGGCTCCTATTGAACCTGTCAAAGTACATTCCAGGAATCTCAGCAATTTACCAAGTAATCACATAGTAAGCTGCTATAAAGTAGAATAGTTATTTACAATCTACAAAATGCTTTTATACAGTGTAAGCAGTTAGAGCACCTCTTTCAAAGTTTGGATCAAAGAGAGAAAATGTTTCCTTAAAATTGTCAGAGAAAATACATGCCTGCTTTTTGATCCAGCTATCCTATCCAGCATTTTAGCTGCAATTTCACTAATCTTATCACTTTTTCTTTTGGACAGCAAAAGACAATATTTTACAAAAATTGCAGAAAATTGCTCAGGTAATTATGACTCACAGATCTCCAAGCATTTTTGTAAACATTCACTCCCTGTGTATTCACATTCTTTGGGAGAATTAATTCAGCACTGTGACCCTTTGTGAAAACATTTATGTGCCTGTTTCAGCTCAGCCGTGTTCAGATTTCTCCTGAAGTAAACTTGGCTTTAATCTAGTTAATATTATGCTTAATATTAGGCATTTCATATGTGATGCCTTGAAATAACAGAAAACTTTGAGATGTGCTGAAGTATTTTCCTGCACTGGCTCCAGTGTTGGTCTTTTGCCTTCCAGAAAAAATACCTGGAAGATGTATGCGAGAATTAAAAAGCGTTTTCATTTTTATGAAAAGTGTGTCGTTTTTAAACTGTCATTAGCATACTGCTGGAGACAAAATACTGACTCCTCTCAGTTGCTAAGAGCAGCAATTGCACAGAAAAGAAGAGATTATGGAACTGTCATGAAATATTTGTTTCAGGTATTTATGCACAGTACTACTGGCTCTGTTTGCAAATTTGTTTTCCCTGCTTCATTTATACCGTATATAACATATTTTAGGAAGCTATTTCAGGAAAACGTATCAAGAATAAGAGGTGTTGCTGTGAGGAGGGGGTGCTGCCTAGCGCAGGTGACATGAGTGTGACCAAATTCCCTGTCCTGCCTTGTGCTTCCTGAGGGGCACAAAGGGAAGATGGGGCAGGTGGCTGAACCCTTTAAACACTCCAGCAAAGGCATGACTAGGTTACCAAAATACCCTGTGGAGTTCCTCATTTTTATGCAACAAGTTAAAATGTAGATCCCTGAGCCACAGGATGCTACAGGGGCCAGGTGTAAATGGATTCAAAGGAGAATTTGGTGTATTTTTAGAGGGTGAGTCCATTGATGTCTATTAAATACAGTGGTTTGGATAAAACTTTTGGCTCAGAAGTTCTGAAACACTGGATTGCCAGAAACTGGAAGATATACCAGGGAAAGTTCAAATTCCACTTGCCTGTTTAAAATGTACTATTTCATAAACAGTAACTACCATCCTCTGCTGGAAATCGGATATTGTGTTGAATTCCCTCTTGGTCTAGCTTTGCTGCACTTCTTGCAGTCTTTTGCTGATTATAATGCCTCACCAAGTTTCCAAAATACCCCACCCACCTCTTCTCCTATGTGGAAGAACAGATGCATCAGTAACTAAAAGTCATCACAAACTGTGGCAGAACACTGTGTACAAGGACAGTACCTGGCACCAAGGAAAAAGTACTATTTCTGCTGCTTAAGTGGCATCTTTAAAGGATTTACATTGTATGCTGTCCTGTATCCTTGCATTCTGTACATGCAGAAGTGCTCTGCATGATAAGAGTATTTACAGAAAGGAAAAACAAAGCGGGGGGGCAGTAAGTTAACATCTAGGACTAAGGTGCATACTTTGTAAAGGCACTGCCATTTTCGTCTGTACAAGAACATCTTTTTAAAAAAATATATCATTTGAGATTATTGTATACTTAAACTTTTAGAACATTGCTCTCATGAGAAAATCCGTTGGATACAGCAGCTAGGGGAACCTGTTATCTGAAGGACAACATAGTATTTCTGGGAGGATTGCAACCTGCAGTTTGTAACATGCCAACAAAATACTATTTTTTCCTCTAATTTTATTTCTTCCCTAGTCCATTTTGTATTTCTTTTCTCAGTCTTCCTTTTCAGATTTGAATAGAGATTTTCTCCAGCTTTTCTTTCTTGTCACACAAATATTTTGAGAGGTATTAAATAGTCTGAAATAATTAACTGATATTAAGTGGGGTCCTTGTCTCAACCTTAATTAGAAACAAATCTCTTTATTCTCTGCCAGAGTTATCCATATGTCACCTCACTGGTTACCATTTTTATGGTACATGTCCAGTCACTCAGAGATAAGTCAGGATATATAAATAGATACTTCATGATAGCTCAAATTAAAAGGATATAGCAGCACATAAATGTATGCATATTGCAACATCAGAAATTAAAATACGATCTTGAATGTTTCCCTTTATCATGCTGGATCAAGCAGGCTTAACACTACAGACTATATTTCATTATCTCTTAATCATGACTGTCAGATTTTTGAGACCTTTGATTTTAGGAGAACAAATGTGTCACTGAAACCACAAATTCATTCTTAAAGGTATAAATCGGTCAGGTTTAGTTGAGATGCATTGAAAGCCTGGCCCAAAATATTTCACAAGCATGAACTAGTGAAGACTTCAAGATCTTCACTATATACACACTATACACTAATACAACATGTTACTCCATTTATTTACACTTAAATCTGTAGCATTTTTAGGAGGTGCCAGCTCCAAAAGAGCATAACAGAGACTTGACAGAGAAGAGCTTAAAGGTGCCAAATTATAAGTGTCACCCACAAGCCTGAAATTACTTACATTAACCCAGGGATGTTCAAGAACTTGCAAGGCTGAGAACCGCAGATCTACATCTACTTGAAGCATCATTGTGATAAGTTCCTGAGAAATGGAATACTGGGTCAAACTTGAAGAACACATTATTTGCTGATAAAGCAAATTAGCAAACTTAATTCTCTAAAATGCTCTTTGACTGAATATTTGTGAGTGTTCAAAGAGAGAACGAGCTCCCAACTGCAGAAATTTATTAGTATTATATAAAAACGAACAGCTACAAACTGCAGAACTTGAAACGGAACTTTTTCTGAATCAGTTTCTAATGGTACCTTGGAAAGCTGGAAGACAGAATTATACCTCTGTAGCCACTGTTTAAGATAAAATACTTAATATAAAATGTACAAAACAGATGGTTGCATGAAATAAGGTTAGCTTCCCATCAAGAAAAAGACAAATTCTTTGTAGGAAAGAGGCCAAAAAAATTCTAGAATTGTATTTTAAGTGCTTGTATAAACGACATAGAAGATATCTTTTAAAAGTCTTTAAAATACAATTTTTGCTGATTTGATTTCTCCTACTACTACTTTCCCATAGCTTTCAGCTAGCATGTAAATAAAGATATACCCAATTCCATCAGTGAACACAGTGCAGTGCACAGAAAATAAGATGGCAGTATGATTGTAAATAAAGGCATATCACTAAAGATAGCAGATAATAGGTCTTAGTAACAAGGAAAAGAAGTTAACTAGTAGGCCTGCTTTAAGACTGAAATTTTAGAATGAACTAGTCAGAAGTAGGAATTTCACAGGAGAAAACCACTGGCAAAGGACCGATGGAGTTCTCATTAGTGATGCTATAAATTAAAGCCTACTAAAAAACAATAAGGAGATTTAAGGACTTCTTACAGCTCTGTGATTGTAGCCTATTTATTGACTTCACTTTACAGATTAAAAGCCAATTCCTTATCACACTACATGTTTCTGTAAAATAAGGATGGAAAAAATGCAACAAAAATGAGATTCAGAAGTTACAATTTCCTTTCCTCACATCCAGTTCAAAATACCGTAATTGTTCTGTCATTAATCAAACACTGAAAGAAACAGGAAAACAACTTCAAAACAACTATGGATTTGCTGTATGGGCTACAGAAATGAACTGTCAGAACACTCACTTATTAGGGAAACTAAGTATTTACCTATATGCTAACCAAGTAAACTATCTTTTTACATGGCAAGTCAACTCTGTTGTGCCAAAGGGCTATAAGCAATGAAGTGAATGGTCAGAGTAAATCTGTATTTCATACCCCTTTGGCAAGAGCAAGGAGTTACAACCAGTGCAAGGCCTGGGTCTTTGCCAGAAAGAAACGACATATCACCTAATGGGATTAATAGAGGAAACAGTCTCCCCATAATGTCATTATATGATGTCCAAAGACTCCAGGTTGGAACCTGGTCCTCATCATAAATCCATACAAAGCGGAGATCTGGAGAGCTTTCAAGGTAGGAGAGTATAGCAAGCAAACTAACTGGATTTTTTTCTACATCAGGAGGAGTTGCTGGTGTCTCAGCTGTATGAGACACATAGAGATGGGGTCCAGTTGAGAGTCTAACAGATGGACATACATCAAATGAAAACACACCTGGTGACCCAGAGGAATGTACAGGTATAGCAGGAGATGTTATGGGATATATCAAACAGAGCACTGTGGAAGAATAATGTTCATTATATACTACTATAATATTCATTATATACTAGTATACTATGAACGGAAGTGCAGAAGCAAGTATTAACTACTGATACCTACCTTTGCAGAGTCAGAAACATTGTCCCAGTAGGGAGATGGAAAATCCACCTGTCCCATCAAAATCTGATCAAAAAGAACTTCTTGGTCATCTCCACTTCTATAAAGTAAACAAAAAACAACAACAAAACACACATAGGAATTATTTCAGAGCTGGTTTTAATAAGCTTTTTGAAATAGTTTTTTATTGAAGAGTCCTTAGGATGCCTTAGGAAGCTGCTGGTTCTCCCCAGGCACACAGTTATGAATCTTGAGATCATAAAATGAAGTGCATTTGGTACACTGTTTCGGAAGTAACTTGCTTGTCTTTAGGACTGACTGCAACTTTTCATTTGTTTTTAAGGCAAAAAAAAATCTTTAAGATGAAAATGGAAATATCCTTATTAAGTGGCTGACATTTTAATTACTTTTTACTGACCACAAAATATGATGTATTTGATCCATGAAAGATAATTATTTCACTGTGTATTTTAAGCATCAGACAAAGGCACCCACAACCTGAAACAGAGGGTCTTGCAATGCAGTGAAGTTTAAGCTAAAATAAGCAAACATGAGACAGAGATTTTGCAGCAAAATCACGGACATGTGTGGCGTGTAAATTACTATGCAGAGCACAGGAAACCCAGAAGCTATGAGGAGAGAGCTTTTTCCAGTGGGAATCTGTGTACTTCAGACACAGCACAGGGAGCATTCACAGGACAAGAATGGCTGAAGATATCGGAGCCCATACCCACGGAATGGAGGAAAACCACAGAGCAGGATGTAAGTGATCACACCCGCTGCCCAGATGTCCACCTTCAGGCCATATCTAGAAGTGTGAGAGACATGGTTAGAGAAATCACAGCTATATGAACCACACTATAAGAATAAGCATTTTTAGGATTGTTAATAACTTCTTATATATTCTGACATGAACTTTCTCTGTGCTCAAGCTACATCGATGAATCATCACTAGATGTGATTTACCCAGTTTCAGCAATGATTTCTGGAGCTACATATGTTGGGGTCCCACAAACAGTATAGAGAGGTCCATCCACAATTGTTGCTAGGCCAAAGTCTCCTAATTTCAGAGACTTGCTTCCATCTTGGTGTTCATAAACCTAAATAAAGGACAAAATTCAAAGATTTAATATAGTTCTGTCAAGGAACCTGCTATATCTTTAAAAAGAGCCTGCAATGTTTCTAATTTACACTCTCTTCTTTTTTTTTTTTCTCCACCTTACCTAAAACATGCAGGAGAGTCTGTTTTAGGTTTCACAACTGGGAAAATATTCCCACTAAATGTATGCATTGTGACCAGAAATGTAGATTATCTGGTCAACAAAAGACATTATAGATATTTCTTCTTGATACAAGATAAAATCCAGAAGCAAAGGTCTAAAATCCCAGCAATGCAGTTCCTAGGTTAACTCCACACTGATGACAAGCAGTTCTCAGTTCGCTCTTTTTAACTTTTGCTGGAGTGACATTTAGACATTCAGAATTTATAAAATTCTTCTCCTTTCTTCATATTGCTCGTTTTTAATGATACAATGGGACCTTTAAGAAGACTAGGAATTTGATACATATTCATATTTCTCTGCTACTATGCGAGAAAAAAAGATGGGCTTACAGAAAAGCCTTGGGAAAAAAAGAAAGCAATTATGGTTTTATTAAAAACACAGATTGTTAAATACATCTGGTTCCTGAAACTAAAGAAAGTGCTCTCTGAAATGGCAGTAATAAATCTAATTTCAACAACAGTTTTAATTAAAGACTAGAGACTTTAAATATTCACTTGCTGAAAAATGTAAAGTGTTCACTTAAACATCAGGAGTTGCATCCAGTCTAATTAGTATCTCATATTCTATTTTATGCAGTTATTTTTTATAAAGCCTTCTCTGAATTATGGTAACCTATCTGTTTATAAATTTCCTCCTTTAGAAGAGATTTTATGACTATATATATAAGAAATTAATTATGAAAAAGACATTTGCACAATATTTGCCAATGAAGAATATTTGGTACTTCGCATTTTCTAGTATCTTGCCCCATCTGTTTCCAGGGATTACTTTCTTTGGAAAACTACTTCAGTTGACTTGTAAGGCTGAAGAAAGTAACTTTTCCTCACTCTGTTATAACTCCATATAAAAAGGAGCCCAGTGTGAAGCTGTGGTATGTTACTTGCCAGTCAAGGAATGTGAAAGATAATTTAATGCTCATGTTATTCAGAACAAACGCTATATATGTTCCACTACATTTAAAAACTGAAGGCAATTAAAGAAATGGGGATTAGTGCAAATTACCCACTATGTAGTGCTTTCACTGTTTTAACTAAGCAATAAAACAGTGTAATTGTACAACACTAATTGAATGCAGCCATACGTAATTGTGTGCCACCATATGTATCCTATTACTATAAAGATCGTCAGTATTTTCTAAACTGCTCGTGTGATCACTGCAGATGGCAACAGTCAGAGAAGTTGTTCTCTAGGGTTTATTATACGGCTATAAAGACATCCTAGGACTTGACAAAATAAATGTGCTAAATAGCAGCAATTATGAAAAATGTTCCAATTAAAGCATGGAAGACACTCTCTAGAGGACAGAAAATGTGTGTGCTGGTAAAACATCACAGATATTCGGCATACTCTGAACTCTTGGCCAGTTGACTGTTAGGGGGACTTTGCAAGTCTTGAAGATAATAAGGAACATTTAAACACTCCTACAAAGGACTACTATTTCATAATGGAGGTTGAGGAAGGTTTTTTGGCAAGGTCTGTGGTTGATCAGGTCTACCAGAGAAAGCTGCTCTTGTGGAAGAGTCAAAGAAAATGAGAGAAGGGGGAGAGAGGGAGAAAAAGGAAATGAGAAGCTCTCCCTTGCGGAAGAGATGCGATGGGATGGCATCATCTTGCCCTGGATATCTGCTGTGCAGCGGTCCCTACCTGTCCCCCCCAGGCCTTGCACTGGCTCCCCTTCTGTAACCTCAACCACAGTGCAGGAAAAAGGTGAGGGAAGAAGGTGCAAGGCCCTGAAAACACCAGCGTGGAAACGACAGCATTCAAACCAGGGAAAAATAGTGCCCTGACAGCCAAAGGGGTCACAGAGCTGCCAGCAAATTTACTGTATTGCAAGCAGAAGACCCTTGGAAATACAAGGGCTGAGGCCTCTACAATATTGTACAAGTGTTTTGTAGATGCCAGGAAAATAGTGCTAACAGTCATTTTGTAACACAAGGAACAACCATCCCATTTAACGGACAGGATGAAAGCAGGAAGGGCACCTATGGATACAAACGATCAGTGTCAGAAAGGGTATCAGCACTCGGGTAAGGCTCGTTCAAAAGCCCGTTCCTAAAACAGAGTTCACTTCTGACAAAGACCTGACAAACCTTAGGGGATGAGTATAAGTTGGGAATCAAATGCTGGCTTTTGAAAGTTAGGATGCTGAAAGCAGTTCAGTGCTGTATATTCATTGCTTAACAGTAATTTGTGACCTTTATTTGGGCACTACAAAGGAACAATCACTTGGAAAACAGATCAACTACAATGCAAAACAATGTAATTCTTCATGTATTGCCATAGATGGATAGGTAGGTGAATTTATCCTTTTCCCCGCTCTCCCCTATCTTCCTTCTTTCCTGCATAAGTTGCTTCTATCACTTTCAGACTTTAGAAATTAGGGATATTTCAGGAAAAAGGGGGGTTTTTCCCCTAGGCAGTCCTGCACTTCCCAAGTCACACTGTTAATGAATCCTGTTGTGACTATCATAACTTATGCATGCAGCCACCTACGAACACCAGCATTAAGGTAGCAACCTTAGGCTGCTTTATATTCAAGCAGTCGGAGATTAATGAATGTTCTACACAACATGTTTTTAGCAGTTTCTGGAAAAACAGGACAGCAATAGCTGCTTTCTCACCCAGAACTCTACAGGCATCTATCACCAGAGAGATCTCAACTGTTGCTTTCCCTGGAACTTCATTAATATCTCCTGGAGTCAGTTTTCCTGTAACACCTCTTCTGAGTCAAGTACTACTAAGTGTGATGGTGGACAGTACACAGAATCAATATTTTAGTATCTTAAACATTGCTGCCTGGTTGCAGAATATGCAAGAACTGGGACATCCTGACAATAGAACATGCTAGAAAATTAGGAAAAACTCAGAGAACAGTGAAATAACTATGAGACATTAATTTCTTGGAAGATATGAAACTCTCAGGTGGAGAGAGTTGCTTCATTCAGGGGTGCAAAATCCCCAGAAGGATTCATTGCCAAAGGAACTTTGTTATCTTCATTGGTTGGGCCTCATACAGATTCAATGAGGAAAGAAAAGATTTAAGCTGTCTATCAAGAATAGTGCAAGAATTTCTTAATAGAAGATGCAAAGATTATTTGGGAGATACAGGGAGATTATTTGGGATGGGAAGGACTCTAAAGTTCTCTTCCTGGTTCTTCAAGAACATACTACACAGTAACAGTCTACTGCTTATGTAAACATCGATTTAAAAATTGAACTGCTGCTAATTGCTTAGGGAAGTGTGCCACACTGCAGAGGTACAGATTGGTCTATTAGGGGAGCTAGCACCTTTATGTTTATGAAAAGCATGGAATTACATTGCAGCAAAATACAAGATTGCTCCTAGTGACCACTGGAACGGTTTGTCACTGTGTCCCAAGGAACAGACTACACATAGTATCTGATATTACTATACTTGGTGATAGCTGTTATTCTTACGAGAAGCTTTACAATGATAAGGTTAAAAGACTGAAATAGACGCAAAAGGGGGTTGGGGAAGGAAGGAAAAAGCAAGACACTCTCTAATTGATTCCCAAGTTAGCAAGAACAATGGCAAAAGCTTAATTTTCACTTACCAGCAGGTTCTCAGGCTTGATATCCCTGTGCACAATGTTCAAGCTGTGAAGATACTTGATGGCACTGGCCAGATTGTAAAGCATCCCACTGGCATCCCGCTCTGTGTATTTGTTGGTGGAAGTAATAGCATCAAAAAGATCTCCTCCCTGGAGCAAAACAACCATGGCACATGAACAACATTTACTTGTGAAGTGACTGACAAATTTAGGGAAGATCAAGGAGCATCATTTGTGGAGAAGGAGGAAGAGGAGGGAGCAGTAGCACATTTTCCTTCCAGAATTAAACTTTGGGTACTGTGATGACATCTCTCCTAGATGAACATTAATCCAGAACCATTTGTCATGGTTTAACTGGTCAGCCAAGGGGCTGACTTTGCTATCAAACTGTTCCCTTCTGTGGCTCTTGTAATGTTTGGCAGTACTCACCAACCTGCGTGTTCAGAGTTCCTCTTGCACGTTTCTGGTGTGCCTACACACCTGCTTGTCACCGTGCTGGATACCAACTCTCACCACTGTTATGATCACAAATGAGCTGAAATCTCTCTTTTTTTTCTTTTTTTTTTTTTTTTTTTTTTTTCCCCAAACCTGGCAGTTCCACAAAGATGAAGACTTTCTGAATGAAAAAAAAGACGAAGACTTTTCTTTCAAAGAACTACCTGTCATCACTGCTAGTGTGTTTTAAAAGACTGTTTCCATCTTGTAAAACTTTGGAACATGGCTTTTAGAAACTGCTTTCTCCACCAAGAAATCAGGTGTTTGGTATTGTGAGACAATGAAGAATTTTCCAACATATAAAATGGAGAATCATACTGTAAAACAGCTGTTTCACCACAGCTACAAATAGAGGTGGCTACCTGTGTCATCTCCAGATCCTCATGGTATTTAATTCAGGCAAAAGCTACTGCCAGTGAAGAGCAAGCAGTGAGAAGGAGGGAGAGAGAGAAGGAAGAATGGAAGGAGGGAGGGAGAGAGAGAAGGAAGAACGGAAGGAGGGAGGGAGGGAGGGAGGAAGGAAGAACGGAAGGAAGGAAGGAAGGAAGGAAGGAAGGAAGGAAGGAAGGAAGGAAGGAAGGAAGGAAGGAAGGAAGGAAAAATCAAATGTAAGCCCTGTATATCTTGTTAATAATCTTGTTTACTAAGATCCAAGGCAGACTTCACACTTGGACAGTATTGCCAGAGCTGAGCAGGCAAGAATGTATAAGTATTTGGAGAAAGACTGAAAAAGAAATTTAAAAGAGATTATAGAGGAGGCTGATAGAGGGGAAAAACATAGCACAACAAAATACCTTTGAGAGACACTATTCAGAGGTATTGGGCTTTAGGCCAGAATGAAACTAGTACCTTAAAGGAAACATAGAAGAGTGTAAAAAGAAGAAAGGACAAATCTAAAAAAAAAAAAAAAAAAAAAAAAAAAAAAAANAAAAAAAAAAAAAAAAAAAAAAAACCAAGAAAAACCCCACTGTTGCAATCGCAGAACCAGGTGATCACAGGAGTGACGTAAAGATTCTGAAATCAACAGAGCTTTGACAGGTTTCATGATTTTATCAACAGTCTCAAGATGTTTAATGTTTTTTAAATAAAAAAACCTTATTTTTTTAAGTTCAGCTTCTGAGTAAATGAACAACTGTTTTCACTAAGAGAAGGAAGGCAGAGAAAAAAACAAAGATTTTTTTCTCTAGGAATCATGGATACAGAGGAAAAAAGTAGGAAAAGATAAATACTAAAGGCTCAAGCATGAAGAAACAGACATTACTTGTTAAAAAAATGCATATATACATATACATACATATGTCTGTGTGTGTATGTGTGTGTATATATATATATATTTATATATAAAGAATTAGTAAGATGCTGCTTAAGCTTGCCAGTGCAGGTTTCTTCCCACTGTTGGTGCAAAAGTCCAGCTTTGGAAACTGCTTGCAGACAACTACTGTCAAATCTGGACCACATCAAAACTTTCTACTCTGGCTAGTGACCAAGTAAGATACCTCAAGGCGCACAGTGTCAAAGAAAAGGAGGAAGAAAAGGCCAAGTTAAACCACAGAGAGGATTAGAAGGAAAGGCCAAATATTTGGAAAGAGGTATAATACCATGTACTTTATGACATTAACTGATCCCTAAGTATTAGATATCAGCATGTGGCAAAATACGTGGGACAAATAATCTATCTTCCTTAAGCTCTTTTCTCTGAAGCTCCTGTACCAGCTGCTTTTTAACATGAGGTAGTGGATTAGACAGATCTTTGGTCCTATCTAATAAGTTCCAGATGCTCAGCAGAAGTGTCAATAATATCAAGAAAGGATTTGCCTCAAGAAAATAGAAAATCTGAGGTGAGATGCAATAGTAGAAAAAGCAAGAGGAGGAATCTAAAAACCAAAAAGAGTAGAAAGAAAAATCAGCCTAAAGTCAGAACAAAGAGACCAAATATTCATGTGCAGAGGAAATCAAAACTCAGGAAAAAATGAGGCGTTCAGAGTGCATCAAGAAAAAGTCAAGTCAGCCTGAAGCAGAATCATTTTCTCCCATTAAGTAATCTCCTTTAGTCAGTAAAGTTTCTTACCAGACAGTCTAGCAAGAAAAAGAGAGCATAAGGTTATACCTTGGAAAGAGTTAATATAGCTGACAACTATATCAGGCAAAATTGTTTTCAGACTTTGCTCTCCCAAAAGAGCACTTTAACCTGCAAGAATCTGCTTAGCTGATTCACACAGCAGGTCACTATCATTTATTTAGGCACAAGGAGCGAGTTTAGGTTGACATTGCAGTCTTAAATCCCCTGTTCTGGAGTGAAATCAGACCAGCAACATCTGAATGCAGTTTTTATCATCTGTGCACATGAGGAAGTATACTTGGTACAGTAACCAATTATTTATTTATTACCTTGTTATGTAAATGATATAATCTCTTTTTTCTTCTGCAAAAGTGAAATCATATCCTGGAGCAGTAAAGGAAACTGTGCAATAAATCTCGCTTGTTAAACTGGCCAAAGCCCTGTTAGGTTTGAATAACAATTTTGTTTCGCTGTGTAAAAAGGCAACATGCCAGAGACCACGTCCTTGCTTCCTTTTACAAGCACCACTTGCAATGTGTTTATATTTGTATTTATGAAGTGCTTTTTCTTACACTTTACAAAGCAATGAATGGCCTATCTGCCAGGAGGTGAAGGCCGCATTTGCAGCAGTCACTTATGTCAAACATGTTACCGCCAATTAATGCAGGGTGGTATTAACTGAAACCGTGCTCTGCAGCATCAAGTCTTTTCTCCTTAAATTTCTTCCTTGTCTGTGAGTTTGATTTAAACTCAGGTCTTCAGAAGTCATTCAATAACAGACGGTTAATCAACTCTAACAGTGCATTCTGTGAAATGGTACCATTCAGCAATTGGTGAAATAACAATTAATGTTTTTCCACAACTACTTTTCTTGGTGCCCACAGAGTATAACAACACTTTTTTTTTTTTTTTCCCCAATTAATATAGATGTTTCTTTCAGAGGAAAAAAAGTTAGCATCCCAAGATTAGGATATTTCTTTTAATTTTTTTCTCTTATTTCCCATAAAATTAAAGAATTTACAAAATCAATGCTTTCTATGATATTTTAACTACCTAGACATCTTGAGAAGCTCTCTATAACATGACTGATGCCATAAATATCTTAGTATTTGCAGTGATTCTGAAGATTGAAAGAGTGGGAGATAACAGATTTTTCCAGAGAGTACCTAAAATGGCTGGCTTTCTTTATACATTAGGCTAGTTATTTCATAAGAGGTTTTGGTCTTCTCCTCTTTTATTTAGCTGAATAAGACTTTGATTTAAAAATCTACCAGAAACTACATTTTTCAAGCATAAATAGCACAGCAGGTTGAACCCATAAAACCAGCTTCATGCTTACGTCCTGGCATGCTAGACAGACGCAGCTTTTACTACTTAGCACACCTCATGGGGCGAAGATGAAGGATCTGTCAATACGAGCCAAAGCTGTGGGTTCATTACAGTGGGCAACACTCTGCAGAAATAATTAATGTACCTTTACACAAGTACCCTGGATACTGAAAAAAACTACAGTAGCATGGCTTTCAGAGTGAGCTCACGTCATATAAAATGGCAGGAATTAAAACAGGGATAAATGGCTCATGGTACATAATCTAACAGCATCAATACAAGACCCTTGATGTCCAGGGGCCAGAGACGGGCTGCCACTATGATGAGATGGGGCAGTTCCTCCAGGGTCGGCTATGGAGAGGGACTCACTGAGTGGAAGAGTGTCAGACTTTCCCTTTTTTTTCCCCCTAGAATATAACTTCTTATTCTGAGCTTGTGCTAAGATGAATGGGGAGGCCTCTATGCTTTCTGCCACTACTCTACAAGAGCTCAGTGGCAGAGGACAACAGGATTAGGTGAGGCATAAATGAATTTCACAAAGAGATCGAGCTCACCCAGAGCAAGCTTACGGATGACACGAAATGAGTGGAGTGGCCGACACTCCGGAGGGCTGGGCTGCCATCCAGAGGGACGTGGACAGTCTGGAGAGTTGGGCAGAGTGGAACCTCATGAGGTTCAACAAAAACAAGTGCAGGGTCCTGCACCAGGACAGATTAGGGGTCGACCTGCTGGAGAGCAGCTCCACAGGGAGCCTGGGAGTCCTGGTTGACAACAAGTTAACCATGAGTCAGCAGTGTGTCCTTGTGGCCAAGAAGGCCAATGGGATCCTGGCTGCATCAGGAGGAGTGTTGCCAGCAGGTCAAGGGAGGGGATCCTGCCCCTCTACTCAGCTCTGGTGAGGCCGCACCTGGAGTATTGGGGGCAGTTCTGGGCTCCCCAGTATGAGAGGGATGTGGAGCTTCTAGAGAGGGTCTAGTGGAGAGACAGGCCTGTTTAGTCTAGAGAAGAAGAGACTCAGAGGAGATCTGATCAACATGCGCAAGACCTGAGGGGAGAATGTAGGGAGGATGGGGCCAAATTCTTCTCCGTGGTGGTCAGTGACAGGACAAGGGGCAGTGGGTACAAGTTGAAACACAGGAAGTTCCATCTCCAGGTAAGAAGCTTCTTTCCTGTGAGGGTGCCAAAGCCCTGGAACAGGCTGCCCAGAGAGGTTGTGGAGTCTCCTTCTCTGGAGATCTTCCAAACCCGCCTGGATGTCACCCTGTGCTCCGTGCTCTGGGTGTCCCTGCTGTGGCAGGGGGGTTGCACTAGATGATGATCTCTACAGATTCGTTCCAACTTTAACCATACTGTGATAAACTCCATAGGAGAACTCAAGCCAAGTGGGGCATCAGGCAGGCTCAACCTGAAAGGACAACAGTGCCATTCTCCTGTGGAGAATACCCTTAGCCTCCCAAGGTTAACAAGGCTCCTCCAACCTGACCTCAACGAGCTCCCTAAGGAATCTTCCCTAATCTCCATCTACAACCAGTGTGAAGCACTGCAGAGAACATTTCTGCGTGCAAAACTCTTTCTCCCATCACCTCTGCTGGTGCCCTTTTCTTAACATGCTTCACAGACAATGCCTACTGAAGAAAACTGCACTTTGGATTTATGATAGGTGGAACTGACCTGGGTTTCAGGGTTTAGAGAGCCCCACAAGCTTTGGGTATGCACATACAATATGCCTTCACACAAACGCTACTGCACAGCTTGAGCTTCCATATTGCAAAGTTTATCCTTAAACACTTAAATCAGTTGATTTCTCAACCCCAGGCCTGAAAGGGTGCACAGGGAAAGCTTGTTGACCAGGATATGAGGCAAAAGAATCATCAATTTCCCAAGTGAACATGATAAAAAGGGTATTTTGCTATAATAATTATAGAGGACAACATTTCTACAGTAGTTTTCTGTTCTAATTTGGATACTTTACTCAATTTTTGGATAATTTTGCTCAAGTGTATTTTTACCATCTGCTATGCACGGTGACATATTTGAGTATTTTTGGCAATATTGGGGCAAGAATGCAGGCTGAGTTTAAGCATCCAGTTTGAATTTGTAGTTCCATCAGGGAGAGAAAATAATTCATGAGATCTGGAAATTAATCTGAAGAAATAACTAGGACCCCAAATACCTATCATACATATAGTTTTACCTATAAGAACAGAGCTACCATTTTAATAGCAGATTTTTCTCTTTTTCTCTTCTCCTCCTCCTCTTCCTTCTCCAGGTTAAATTTAGCTTATATCTAGAATGGAAACCTGTCAAAGGATCAGTATCAAAGAGTGTGAAAGAAAGACAGTTAGTATAGTTTTAATTTAACAACCTAATAACATTTAATTAAAATATATTTGATACCAAATATTGAATTTTGAATACCAATTATTGACCATTATTCAACAGGATATTTTTTCAACTCATCCTAAGACAGTAGCATTTTTGCAGGTAAAACTTTTTTAATCACATTTTTTCTTCTCAAAAAAAAACTTCATTTGATCTCCAAAATGCTGTCCACAGAACACTTCCGAATGTGGTTTGAAAAAAGTTATATGGATGTTTGAAACATTTTAAAGTTAGAAGACTATTTGGCTGTGAGTTCCACATTTTTTAGGAGGGACTAGACAAGGCGACCTTGGGAGATCCCTTCCAATCAAAAGCATTATATATTTCTATGATTTTAATAAGCATTAATATCAATGAAATTTCTGAACATGTATGAAACAATTCTTAAGTAGTAGCTTATCTCTAAAATACTTACCTTTACAAGTTCCATGACCAGGTACAATTCAGTTGGCATGTCCATCTCCTCAATCAGAAGTACAATATTGGGATGTTTGACTCTTCTTAAAATAGATACTTCATTCTGGATCATGTGTTCCTGCCACACAAGAGAAATTTTAAATGACCATGAAATTTTAAATGACATGTTTCTGATGCAAAGAAGAATAGATTATGGCAGTTTTTTCATTTTTTCTCCAATGCAAAATCTTTCCAAAACATTTAAGAATACAACTGCATCATCTGAAAAAAAACCCCTTTTTTAAAGAATGGAAATAAATAAAATTTTAAAATAAAATTCTAAAAATGGAAATAAATTCAGTTAGTATAAACTGAAATAAATTCTGTTAGTATTTTATTCCAATCAAATTGGAAACAATTTGATTAACCTCATGATACAGATTATATATACAGGATTTGCTAAGACTGTCTAGTATTGTAGTGCTCTTTTCTATAGTATCTGGGATTATGAAATCTAAAGGACATAATTACAAGCATTAAGAGAAAAAGCAGGGAGTGCACTTGCAAAAATACATACATCTTGAAAGACATCTGAAGTAATTCAGAAGGTATCTAAATTTGTACTCTGAGAGTCTCATAAGGGCAGAAGACTTCAACCAAAAAGATTTTGACACTTGCTGGGAAGGAGATAAATACCAACAGATTCCCAAACTGATCTGGTCTTTCAGATATTTCTTGAAAAAAAAATATTGTGCTCCTATGTGAATTTTTTGTACTTACTTTTCCTCTACATTTACTTTTTTTGATTATTTTCAGCGCATATTCTCTACCAGTTGATCTGAGGAAAGAGGAAAAAAAATAGGTTCAATCATGTTGAATATTTTTCTTAGTCAAGTTTGCATTTGTCATTTGAGCGCAGTATTAGTAATTAGGTCTGGGCAATAATTCTGTTCAAGTATTTGTTTTGTCAAGAAATGAAGCTTGCATTTTACTGAAATTGTGATCTTCAGTCAAATTTAGTGAATACTTGTGTCTGAGAAAAAGAAAAAAATACTAAATATGTTCCAGAAAAACAAAGACATTCCAATGTTTTAAAAATTAAATAATTTGGGCTTTTTTTCCATTTTAAAGTGGAATTTGTTATTTCTTCTGTAGTTTTGTCTAAAAATATATTACAGTATTAGAGATGCCAGCCTTCTTAAAAATTAAAAGTTTTGTTTCCTATCAAGCAAAATCTATGAGTTATGGAAAATGCTTACTTTTATTTAAAATGAAAAATCATGAAAGATGTTTGCACATCTACACTCACAAATCCTAAGCTAAAAGTCAGTCCTTGGAATAACATTTTATGTACTCAACAAGTATAGGATATCCAGCAGTTAGATACGATATCTGTGGAGGGGAATAAGAAAGCTTCTAGAAATAGGAAGTAATTACAGTGAATTACTTCAAGATGAGAATACTTTTTTGTATGAGAATAAGTGTTTTATATATTTTTTATTTTTTTGAAATCATATAATGTCTGTCATTACTACAAATATCAATATTTGTTATAGATCACTAACATACTAACAGAAAACTCAGCTTGCATACAAATTCAAGATAACAACCTCTGTTTCTTCATCGGGGTATATAACCAACATATGGCTGCAAAGATTAAAACAAGAACAACCATTCAGAAGCTCTAGTGTCATGGATTATTTTATGAAATAGAAGATGGGCTATATAAGAAAAATTTGTAATTAATATTTAAGACTGCTTACAGGGGTTGCGACGATGCCCTTACACATAAAACTGGTTGAAAATAAAGGAAAATAATGACACTCCAAGCACAAAGGGTAGTTTTCTCCATTCTCTATAGTCTAACAGTTAAATTGCTATGTAATAATTTTATTAAATTAATATATAAACAGTTCCATAGAGAATGCTATGTGAATGTGCTACTTGCTGACAACAAACATCCACAGCTTTTCAAGTAGGAGATGTAAAGTAAGTCATATATTCAAAACACTACGTTAGCAAAATAACTGGGCATTTTCATAACTGTATTTAAGTATGGAGCTATCTTCTGGCAATGATATACCACCAAGGATTAATTTAAGAACTAATGGGAAGGTTGTTCAGGAGAAAAGAAAAATTCCAAGGTCAGCAGGAATCAAAGACCCTCTTTATCAAGCCATCAGTTAAAAGATCATGCAAAGAAATCACAGTGTATTACATTGTTTACAACTTAGAAAAAAAACTATATGATTGCTTAGGACTTAGGCAAAGAAAAACTAAAAACTTCTCCTAACTGACTCGAGGGTTCAATGCTACAGTTCCCAGAAAGGCAACACACTCCACACAGGTGCCCGCCAGGTGCTGGTGCTGGGCAGGTTTATCTCCTGCTCAATGAGGTGACAGGCAGAGACGCCAGCACCATTTTGCAGGGAACAGAAAGATGAGGTAGGAGTAGAAGAAACATTAGAAATAAAGATACATGGGGTTCATACTCAGATAAAATATGTTCTCTTTCAATAGAAGTTCCATTCAAGCTCTTTGGTTGCCCTAGGAATGCTTCTTTTCTGTCACAAGAAAGGAAATTGATGTTTTTTTGTTGGCCGTGGGAGTCTCCATGTACTCCAAAACACTGGGAAACATGAGCTAGTGAGGAAATGTCAGAATTTGGAAATATCTGAAAGTTAAAAATGAACACGTACAAAAACACCGCAGGACAAATTGCGCTTATGATAGAGCAGGCATGTAACGAGCAGATGACAACTCTGACTGCTCTCTGTTTTTGTACAAAGAAAATTAAAGCTAAGATAATGCAAATCTTTTCCCTTTAAAAAGCTGTAGAACCGCAGGCTGTCAGCAACACTGCAACCTCTGTAACCCACTAAAAAAATACCTACAGTAATGCCAAAAAGCTACAGTAAAATGGGCATATCATCCCTCACCTATCACTTAAGCTGAACAATAAAAAGGTGCCACATAATGCATGAAACGTGCATTATTGCTGGGTAAAAGTTGGGAACAATGGAACAACCATATGGTACAACATCAGACCTCTATTTCATAGAGGAACTTTGTGGGTGTTTTAACTTTCTAGACTTTTAGACTTGTCTGAGGTTCCCAATGTACAAGAGACAGAAAGCTACCGTCATTATTTCTTTGTCTGTACTAAATGTGCATGCACACACACAAGGGTGTATGGGTGTGGGCAAAGGATAGTCAGAAGCCTCCACAGGGAAATTCTGGAGACCAGTTTGGGTTGCTATTTGTGCTCTATATTGCCAGATGAAAGTGCCTGTGGATGCATCTGCAGTGTCAGAGGGGCTGACCAGTGTGTGCCGGCTGGTCTCTATGGCTGTGGAGGAGTGTCCATGTGATCAGTGGAGATGCTTAACAAGACCCATTCCTAGTTGCTTAACACCTCACAGTGTTATTCCTTTGAAGTTTAATGCACACAGGAACTGTACAGCAGAAGAAAGTGGAAAAGACCATTCCAAGTATCACCCTATCAATTCTGTCTCTGCAAATGATGGACATATCGGACTTTGAAGTGCTGCTTTTTGCTTCGAAAGACTGCCAAGAATGTTTTTGAAAGTGTTTTACATTTACTGGCTTTAATTTACTGTCTGAGCTTTAATTTCTCCTTCCACACCTGCGATGGCCAAGGCATCCTGCTTTAGAAGTGGAACTAACAGAAATAATTCTACATTGTTTGCATTTTCAAACAGTCCCAAAGCAGTAATATCTAACATAAATGTAATCTGAGCAATGACGTGGCTCAGAGATCATGGCAGTACTTGGGAATTTCTGAGTAATGAGGCTATTTGAGCATATATTCACTAGATACATCATGTTATCAAATACATCAAAGACATAGGAGGATAGGGAAGAGGACAGGAAACAGTTTTCAAGTTTTCCTCTAAGTTGTCTGCTAACTTATAAACAGGATTTTTTGGGGTGTGGTCGGACCTATATTTAATTTTGTTCAAATCTTTGCCCTAAACTTTAGAAACACTTGTAAAGCACACTAGTACATTCAAACTACCTCTCAGCACAACCAGGATTTTTAATCAAAGCACAGTGAATCAAATTCTCAGAGTACTATTGAGCCATATAATGTTTTTCTCAACACTTAGTCACATTTAGCTCACTTTTTTTTTTTCTCTTCTCTGATTTATATATCCTCTTCCATGTTTTCTACCTGTCCCTCTTTCCATCCTGTTCCGTAGATCTTTACTGAGCTTTTATTTTCATACGGTTTTGCCGTGATTTCCTTTGATTTCTATAAACTCCAATTTCATGTTTGAACTCTGGAGTTTGGCATGAAGAACTACTGCCATGAGCATGATCATCTCCACCACAAATTCCCCCCGAAAGAACTCTAAAAACCTCACAAGAGCTTCAATTAAGTCTCACATGCTCATAGTCAGCAGATATAAAATATATTCTCCCAGCAGCTATTTCAATGGTCTCTGTCATGTCAGATTCTCTCAGATCCAGAGCAGGACCTGTCTTTTTTTCAAAAAACACATAGTTTAAAATTAGCCAATCTAATTAATCATCATCTGCCATGAGTTCTTTTCTTGACTTAGCTCTCTACAATTAATATCACATTCTTTCAGGCTGGAAAGTAATTTCTTTTTCAAGACCAAATGTGCAATTACAGTTCTCTAAAAGATTCCCTCGTATATAGCAATAAGGGATGTAAAACTTCATTTACGGAATTTCATGATCACTTCTTGACCTTTCTATGGTCCTTTGTTCCATCTATCATTTTGTATGAGCAGTCTCATCATCATTTTGGCTACCAGTACCTTCTCTCTGACTTATTTTTCAAAAACACCACCAAAAGGCATCAACATTTCTGTTTAAAGCAATTTTGTCTTTTGTTCCCTTCCTTTTCATGCCCTTAAGGCTGGGTTGAGTCAGTTCAAGCAGCATGGACATGATTAATCTGAAAAGAAGAATCAAGAAACTGACACTTAAGCTGCTCAACCTGGGCCGGTTCTGCAACCTGGGCATTAGAGATGACTTCTGTAACCTAATGTTAGTTTAAATCAAATTTAATTTAATTTAAATTAAAGTTCAATTTAAAATCAGTGTTCAAGGGAGACTCAGTCTTCAAGGGAGACTCTTTCTACACTTTTCATAGGTACCCAAAGTGGTGAGACTTTGATGCCTATGCTGCAGACTCCTAAAGTTATGTAGGGCACATATACTGGTATATGGCAGGAGACAGTAAGATTTCATTAAAAGCAAACATAGAAAAGGTTACTGTTCCATGTTAGATGACAAAATAGATGGATTTAAAACCACCCTTCAACCACCACCACTACAGTACAAATAAAACTTCCTGACGTCTTTACGAAATGCTCTTAGATGCAAAATGTCTCACCTGCGTAGAACAAAAAGCATGTTTCAAGAATATATTGCAAGGAAAAATATTATTCCAGGACAATAGGAAAGATTTAACACAAAGAACTGATGAACCTGTGCTTAGCATATCAGAAACACATATAAAACTCACAAAGATTTAAATCCATAGATTGTCCCTTGGAATCATTCCTTTTACACAAGAGAAAGTATTAGTCTAATTTTTTCCTCTTTCTTTGATGTTCCCTAATCAACATGTACTATATTCTTCAAATAAAGACATGATCTAGAAATGCATGACATTGCTTGCTTTTACAGTAATAAGCAAATGATTCCTTCTCACCTCTCTATACACTCCTTCACAATAGCAAAATTTCCATCTCCTATAGTCCTTCCAACTTTATATCGCTCTGCTATTGATGCTGGGACCTGGAAGCCTTCCTCCAACACTTCTGAAAGAATCATTAGTACATTTTTATTGTTAGTGAAGGAAACACAGATGTTGCACATAACATGCATTTTAAGTCTATGGTTTAGGAGCCTGGAAACCATTCGGAGTCAGTATCTCACTTACTGTACAATGAAACCATGCTGCTGACATTGTATATACTCAACAGGTTTCACGCAGATACAATAATGAAAAATAAGACTTCTGGGGGCTCAAACATACCACCATTTGAGTGTTACATAGTTTACCATTCCAATTCCAATATGCCCTCAGGACAAAACCAAAATTGTATTTTTTTAATTATAAAACGGCCTCTGTGATCTGCACAAGCGCAGACCAGCCTCCAAACAGGGTTGGAACTCCTTGACACAGCATGATTAAATATATGTACCAAAGAAGTCCAACACTCAAGCACTTATTTTATTACATCCTGTAAACTGAGACATCCATAAAACTCCTCATGTGCTAAGTGCTAGTTCTCCCCCTCCCCCCAATATTAAATATTTAGTTTTTAAACAAATGTTCTCAATAATACTACCTCGCATGCAACCTGGGCACCAGATGTTTAGGTAAAATTGCATTACACAGTGTCTCAGCATAAGAAAAGTTTGCAGTTTCATGTGTTTTACTGCTCATTCATGTGCCATTATTTTTAAATGCATTCGAAATAATGTGTTACAAATACCTAACATGCCTCTAAAAGCTGACTGTAAACTTCAGCTGCCACAAACTATGTAAGCATTTTAGCACAAAAAGTGCCTCACAAAGATATGACTTGAATTTTACACCCTTCAAGATAACACTTTTAAACTGTGTCTGTATCTGGTCCTTTGCTCAGGCTTAGTATTGTAAGTGAACGATATGACATATGGAGGCTGGGGGTTGCTGGAATTCATAGGGGCATGAAGAGTTACTGTCAGACAAGAACATACATCCACACTTACGTATATGTGCATGGGAACAGGCGCTATCTTTTAGCCAACTTGTTGGAAGCCTGGCCGTGTGGTGAGACTAGTCATTCCTGAGCAAGGACCCAGCACAGCACTGTGTTCTCTGTTACCACGCAAGGTGAGACAAAAAACACAGTGCAATAATCCAGTCAGCACTGTGTCACTATATAGCTAATATCCAGAGTTTGCTGTGACAAAAACATTTCTGCATAGGGCTGTCCCAAATGCAGGATCAGACCTGATGTGGAGTGAGCATGACGGGGTTCACTGAGCCTGACGAGGCTCCTGATGGAGAGTCATCCTGCCTGCCACGCTCCCACCTTCTCCGGCAGGAAGAATGACTCATTTCCTACACAGCTGCTGTATCACTGTTGTCTGCTTGGAAATGTCAGCCTTCCAACGTTACCTTCTGCAGGTCCGTCATTTTCATCCATAGAGCTGCAAACTTTGGTGGATGCTAATGAGGTGGAGGAGCCGCTGTGCTGGGAGCTCTGGAAATGGAGAGACACAAATGAAAACAGAGGCTTGTTACAGAGCACAAGCAGCCCCAGCAGCTTCCTACTGCATGGATGTGCCAGGGGGGCTTCAACGAGCTCTGCATTAAGTAGTGATTTTCTTTTACGGATATAGACACACGAGATGTTTGGGAAGAGTCCGTTTTTTCCACTGAAGTTACATTTCTGTATTTCTGATACCCCATTTAATTGCAGAGATTCCCTCATTCATTATATGCAGCTACATATTTATGTAGACTCCACTTAAAAAAAAAAAAAAAAGTTTCTCTCTATTCCACACACATTTTGGCACACATTTTGCATGCCCTCTACTGGCAAGAAACTTTTCTCAGGGGTATCAGTAATCTAATAGGAACTAAAAGAAATGAAATTCTGGCTGTTTTTGCTATGGACTGAATGTGGCACTTCTGCATATTTCCCTCTGAGGAGAACCTCTCCAGCTGTGCTCTAAAAAAGCAAATTTGTTAGGATAATGTATGGAGAGCATAAAATGCAGCATGAATAATGTTTGTTTGTTCTTCTTTTTAGCAAAGGAAATGATTGTATACAGCCCACTTAAGGAAATGATTTTATACAGCCCACTTAAGGCATGAGTCTATACCTCTTATTTAAATCTTACAAATTGAGTGTCTAAGTGAGAAGAAAATACCTTGTAGCCTCCAGAAAGAGACCTTGGCCACCTAACTTGGATGCCAAATACATAGCAGTCGGGGTAGTGGTAGGCAAGTCTTCTAAAATATCCATCTCTGCCTATTACTTAAGTATGAAATCTAGACATGTACTTTGGAAAGGCTTCTTCCTTAAACATCTCAATGGGTGAAATTACACAAACACCTGGGATGGACTGGATTTCACCCAAAACTTTTATTTTGTGTTGCATAATAATTCTATGAATATATTTTCACAATTCTTCCACAATCAGGGTGTTGATCCACTTGATACATTTAATTCCCCTTTTTCTTTTGGAAATTATTTCATCTGCCACTGCACTGGAAAGCAGATGTTGACTATATAACAAGAACAACTAACCACAGAGTGGTCAAATGTTTTGCAAAGCAGGCAGACAGGGAGGATGCAATCAGCAGAGTTAGAAGCGGATCTGCATGCTGAGTTCATTTGGGCAGACTAAGTTTTAATTTTTCCCAAGGAGATTAAGGTTACATGATTTAGACCAAGGGTGAAGCTGGCCTTTTTTTTTTTTTTCATTTAATAACCCTGAGAGGTTGCACATACCCTGTCTACCAAGAGATTCTCTGTGTCTTTTTTAATCATCACCAGCTCAGTTTTGGCATCCATCCAAGCATTTCTTCTTAATTTTGACCAGAATTAATTGCATTCATCAGATTTTGGACCATGCACATTGCCTCTCAATGACAGAAATGAGCACCGACTAATTTTATGCAGCTTGCAGACATTTCTGTCTTTGTTTCATGGTTAGGACATTCTAAGCATTACTCCTGTTTAAACTCTACTAGGTATCTCAGTAAAAACTTACCTTAGGCTCATTTTAAAGCAAATGTGCAGATGAGGATCAAGGTAACAGGAAAATTTTATTTTTTTCTCAGAGCTGGAGAAGTCTCTCCCCAAGTCATTCTTTTTATATAGCTTATAATGATAGATTTCTTTTACCGTCCTGCTTGTAGAATTAGCGGAAAAAGATGCTTTTTCTACTCATAGGTCTGCTTCAGCTTTTTTTTTTTTTTTTTTGTGGGGGGAGAGGGATGTGATTTGTTACTTCTTTTTTTGCATCATACAGCATTTTCTTAAGGAATTACAATATAAATATGTTTTATATTTGATACATGTACAATTAGAAAATAATCTTTACATCGTTTAAAGGGTGTAATGCAAAAAAAAAAAAAAAATCAATGGTAGCACTAGATTTTCAGGAGATTAGCAGACAATTACCCAGTTCAGTTTTGCATTTTAAGTGCTGAGATTACACTCTCAGGCAGATGCTGGGTCAAACACTGTTGCCTACACAGCACTGCAGCTTTCCTTAGCTCTTTGAGGATCCCCTCCCAGGGTCCTTCCCTCATTGTTCTGGTCTGGGAGGTGACACAGTAAAAGCAAGACTTGGTGGCTAAATTTTCTCCAAACGGATGTCTAAAGAAAGACTCAAATTTCTATTTGGGAGCCTGGTTCCTCAAGGATCCTCAGCTCTGGTTTTGATGAAGTCTGTGAGTGCTCAGTCCTTCCCAAACTGGAATCCTTCTAGGTCTCATGTCAGCAAAATACTTCAGGGCTTCACTTTAAATACAAACAGTCTTAACACCCCATATACAGGACTCTTAAATATAATTCCACTCTTAAATAGCTGTCTTATGTATATTTGTATATAAATATGTATTTAGCATAAGTTTAGAAACCAAACTGAAAAAAAAGTGGCCCATATAAATTTTGAAGGAAATAAATCACTATTATGAAGATTTTTTTTAGTGCCCCATTTGTTTTCTTACTAACACCAAGTTTGCAGTGCTAAATAAGAAACAGAAGTCTAAGATGGTACTCAGAGCTGAAGCACTGCTAGTATAGAGTGTATCATAGCTCTGCAAACAGAACACATCACCTTCACTAAGAGCTGTGTGCAGAGTACAAGTGTGGGGGCAGATGCAGAGCTTGCCAGTGGCACAAACGCAGGAGCTAAAGATGGAGTTGATAAAAATACATACTGTGATTTTAAAAACTACTGAACTGAAAAATACAAAGAAAACAGATAATTTTCTTTACCTTTGCTGAACCCCTCCGATTAAAATAGCAGACTTAAAAAAAAATAGGAACAGTACATTTGAATATACTTGCAACGTCTACGCACAGACCATCATTTTTACAATTAAAGAGATGTTACTAGGCAAAGCTGGCATAGAGCAATTTCCTCTTTATTCAGTCCTCCAGAACACCATCCTGGCATTTATTTATTTATCTTTACTTAAGCTAGAAGGACACTCAGCCCGTTTAGACCTTAATGAGCTCGTTGTTCTCATAAGCTGAGGCCTTCTGGGTCCAACGCTCCTCGTGGCTCCTGGTGCTCCTTCCAGTTGCTTGCCCATGGGGAGGCAGCCTGCTGTGCACTCGGTGGCTCTCACAGCTGGAGACCCCATTAAGGACATTACAGAGGGGGGGAAAACACAAACTCTAAGCAAGAGCATAATCTCTTCAGCCCACAGACCTTAATGCAATTAGTAGTTCTAATTTTAAGAGATGCTGAGGCGCTTGAAATGTCATCGCTTGTACCCAGATTTAAAGGGGTTCAGTTGCACAGGTTGCCAGCACATGGTCATTTTTATGGCACACCTCCGTAAAGGCGAGAGCATAAAAAAATCAGGTCTTTGGTGTAAGGATTTCAGATCCTATTCAGGTTGATATAACAGATGGCCAACACACCACACATCTTATTGATGTGAATAGAAACATTAGCGCTATAGAGTTTCACCCGTGTCTCACAGGGAGATTCATTTAGCAACTGTTTTGTAAATAGTTTACACCTCAGAAGAAATTCCTCAAATTCAGTGAAAACAAAAGTCAATAAAGCAAATATTATTTTAATTGCTCTCTTCACATACTCACCTTTGTCCTGAATTAATCTTAAAATCACATTCCAACTCAATAGCAGGAATAACTTTTATGGACTATCAATATCAGCAGTTATGAACAGAAACTAAACAAGTATGTCTAGGAAGTTTATTAATGCGATTCAGATTCCTGCATCTTGAAATCCAAACAGTGTATTATATGTTCCAAACCTCTCAAAACCATTATTAGTGCATATGGAGTCTACAAAGTCCCCTGACAATAGATTCCTTTGTATGGTGTGAAGGAAGCATCTGGATGAAATGTGAGTAACAAAAATGTACACAGGTGTAAAGCTAAGCTGGAACTCATGAAGAGTTTTGCTCTTTTAGAAATGCTATTAATGAAACTAAGATCAAAATTAGTAAACAAATTGTAAATCCAGGAATGAGGCCTAACACAGGGGGATTTTTAATGACTTTAAATGTGCTGCCTAAGATTTCGTTTATTCCTATGAATTCCACAGAATGCAAAAAGCCTGGAAAGAGAAAAAGCTGAATATATCAATATACTGTGTACGATAATTTTCAATTCAGCAAGGATAAATAGCATTAAAAACAAAACAAAACATTTAAGCAACCACAGTCAACTCTTTGCATTCTGCACTGTTCAAAGTCTTTGATTTGCTTATAAATAATCTTTGCATGGCAGCTGTCACAAATTTCTGACACAACCCATTCCTTAGCTTGAAGGGATCGTGTTTTTAAAAGTAAAAAATAAAGACAACAGTACAGTATAGGCATTAGCTTCGAAGGACTTTGAAAGACTCCCCTAATTCTTCTAAGATGTAATAGTGGAAAGAAATAAGTGAGTCAACATAACAAAATGGTGTATGTCCAGGAAACAAAATGCTTTTAAAGGTTAAGCAGAGGACAGCTAGTTTGAAAACAGTCAAATTAACATATCTGGATGTAACTTTTATAAGACAAAGTCAGTTTGGTATTCAGTTTAGAGAGAAGCAAAGAGTTAAACTAAAACTCCCTCTCCCAACTGTCCTGTGAAATATGTTCCTGATTTTTCCTTAAATGCTTAAATTTTTTGACCCAGCCAGCTGACAGGGAAGAAAAGTCTTTGTGTAAACAGTACAAAATGGGGAAAAAAATGCTTAAGAGAGAAGCATCAACTCCTCAGTCTTTGTGCTGAATGGAAAGCAATGGGATTCAACACACAGAAGAGAAATGATGCAGTTTTCTCTTCAAATTCCGACACTACATTACGCTGACATGTAAGATCCGCAATTATTTATAAACTGCCTTCATCTGGAAAACGTGTGCAAGCCTGCCACTTGTCCACAGTCCTACATCCCACGCTGCCTTTTTGAGACACGTCATTTCACAGAGACCCTTCGTGGAGGAATCACAGGGGTTTCGTGTATGCAATGATTTGCACAGCTTGGAGAAGGGCTA